CTGTGCAGTTTCAACTGCGCGAAAAGAGCTACAGATGTCTGAGGCATTCCTTTTGCCATGGGCAAGGCCTGCCTGGCTGGAGAATAACATCTCAGCTGAAGCTGCAAGGGTAGGCAACAGCCTGGAAAAGCAGAGGTATATTTTTCAGGCGGGCTTGCCTGACTCACTGACCATGCCCTGCCCCACTCTTTGCCGCGCAGGTCGCGGTCACGGCGCGGGGCTTGGTGATGCGAAGCTTTGTTTGACGCAGTCACAGCGTGTGCCTTGCAGCTTGTCAAGCCGAGGTGCTGTCTCTGCTAAACTTTGGGTGTTTAGCCATGCTGGTGCTCGCTTCCCGGGCGATGAGGAGCTTCACAATTTCGAGGCTCACAGAGCAGCGCGTGGCGAACGAAAAGTTCCGGGGGCAGTTTCTCAGGGTGCTTCGCACCAGTTACAGCGTTTCTGTGCTGCTACTACTTTTGGTGATGCTGATCTATGCAGTGCTCAGCCGCTTATCCCGGCTGCCTCATCCAGGTGCTTTTGTTTTGGGCTGGAGCCCCGCATTTTTCTCTGCCTGGGCTTTGCTGCAGCTGGTCACATGCATTCGCCTCTTGGCGGCGCTTGCAATGAATGAAGTGGAGTGCTACTACCAGGAGCTGGAATCCACCGGTAGCGGCTGCATTGAGGCACAAGACTTCGTTGCACAGGTGCAGCCGGGACATTGGCTGCGTTTGCTGCGAGAGCATCAAGACTTACTGCGGGATTTGAAGGCAGTATCATCCTCAATCTCTGCGACTGTATTGGTGTTCCAAAATGTTGTTGCAGGATCTAGCCTTTTGCTCCTGTGGGTCGCCCGGGCCTACCAGAAGGACCCTGCGCCATCCACTGGCTATGTTGTTTTGGCTTTTACTCTCATATGCTCTGGCATATTTGCAATGGTTCCTCTTGCTTACATCACTGACCTATGCCAGTCGCGCAGACTCGGCAGGCGTTCCTTGTTGACACTGGCTGACAAGTTTAGCGGATGGCCTATGTCCATGGAGGTGCACGCTGAGTACATGCGGTTCATGCAGCACTTAAACACCGCAGAAGCCGGGATCTACCTTCCAAACATGGGGATGGTAACGCGAGCGTCCTTGACGAATCAGATCATGTTTTACGTCAAGGTGCTGCCCTTAGCTCTGGCAATTACTCTTGGCTGGTGGCGCCGGGGATGAGTAACAGAGCAGGTCCAGCAATTCACGGTAAAATCGTCAATTGCCAGACAGCCTCGGAGGTCTAAAAATTATGACCTTGTTGTGAGCGCATGTTTTTCAAGTGTAGAGTGGCTCAAAGTGAGCCACGGGGTAGGGTCTTGAGTTTCATGGGTCACATGGGACACATGTGGTGCAGGAAGTGAGGTCAAGAGTACCTAGAGTGCCCAGTTGGAAACAAGCTTGGACGCACTATGTTGAGTGAGCATTGGCTTGAATGCACGTGGATCTCTGTGAGCACATGAGCATGGCAACAAACTGCATCAGATTGGGAAAGGGTGTAATTATGTCATGTCGTTTGTTTGTGCTGCACCTCTCGTTCTCGCCACTAGCCGGCTCAGTGCTGGAAGCCCGGTGCATTGAAGCTTGAGAACCAGATCCAGCTGCCGGGCTGCAAGTCCGCTGGATCTGCGGGAAAGCCGCAAGGCGGGAGAGGCTCTATGTTCACCGGCTGAATGGCTGAGTGGCGCTTTTGCATGAAGTGTTGCGCAAGGCACCTAGCAGCGCTTTCTTGTTTTATCACCTGAAGGCTGCCATGCAGACACTAATGAGATAGATTCAGTGGAGTTTGCCCAACCTTTGCGCATTCTTTGGTGTGCACGGGGAATGCATACGGTCGAGTTCAGCTTGGCCTGACTACACAATGCCGTGAACTCCTCCCTGCAACACGCAGAGCAAGTGTTTCCTAAGATTGGCAAACATACATCCAGTGGGTAAAGTGGCCAGCCAGCCGTGCTTGGCTTGATTGAAGCCAGCACAGCAAAGTGCAATAGAACACAGTCCCTCAGCTGAATGCGCCGCAGTTTGCTGCAAGGAATCTTCAGCCGACCGCCTTCATGTGATCCCTATCAACACCATGGATGTCCGTTGAAGAAGATTGATATCGGCTTTGTCAAGTTGATTGTTTGGCATAGTTTGGCTGTTTCATCAGCAGCGCGGGTTGCCAACAGGAGCTGGCACAAGACAGTTTGCTCTTTAAGATCTGGTCTCGGTTGCGTTAAAAGGAGGCAACAGCATAGCACATGCCACGCACGCAACTCAAAGCCAAGGTTGGCGCCCAATGTTCCTGCGCCTCGCTGCCCTGCTGCTGGTGGCTTGGACGCACGTCGCATTCTTTGGAGTTCATTTATGCCATTCTCCCTTTTCCCGGCGCTGGCCCGCCGGCAGAGGCATTGATGGGTGCCCATTCATATCTCAGGCTTTGTGCCTGGTGGATGCTGCACGTCTGAAGCGGAAAGCTCCGAAGCAGGTGCAGCACAATAGTCCTTGCTTGCCCAACCCTGCACATGGAAGTGGAGCGCGTGATGGTGCATGACTTGGGTTGCAACTTGGAGGTGCTTGCCCTGGATCATGATGGCAAGACGAAGATGCTCATCCAGGCAGGCTCGCCATCATGATAGCCCTGCGAACAGGATGCTTTGCTGAGGTTGGCACTTCCGGCTCAGGACCCGCATGTGCCAGACACTTAAACGAGCTGCCACTTTGTTGCACAGCTCTGTGGGGGCAATGTGAATGCCAAGGACAAGATCAAGTGCGCGGACCCGCTGACCTGCCCCCCTGGATTTCAGGAGACCCAGGTGCGCAAGCACCATGCACGGAGCAGAGGTTGCAAAGTGTGGCGCATACTGCACGTGACAATTCAGGTTGAGGGTCAGTGCTGCCGGGAGCTTGACAATTCACCCGAGGCATTCACCCGAGGCATACAGCATACTGCATACTGTTGCATTTTGTTTGGAGTGCTTGCCGATCTCAGAAAGGTTCCATAGACCTTCATTTCGCTGCATGATTGGCTGCATGATTGGTGCATACAAGCGATGGAATTCAGGCCCCTATTGCGTCAATCCAGATATCAAGATCGAGCCAGAGGCGATGGAAGACACAAAGACGCTTGCGTGTGAATGTGTGTTGCGTGGATGTGTTGGAAGCTCCGCACAAACTTGGAAGCAACTTGAGAACATGGCACTTTTTTTGGGCAGGTGACTGGAGCAACAGGTAAGGCAGGTGGAAAGAAGAGCGAGTACTGCGAGGAGGCGCGGCTTCGCAAAGCGTAACTCCAATCAATGCCACTTTTTGAGGTCTGGTGCTTCCCGACCATGTGCACCAAGGAGCAGGCCGAGCCGAATCCAAATGAAGGAAAAGCTTGCAGAGGTGTCCTGCTTTGGCAGGTCATGCCAACTACCAAGAACGGGATGTGCTGCCCGCAATGCCCGGAGTGATGAGCGTCAGACAAAATGACGGAAAAACAGGGGACATGCGAGACAATATTTGACAGCCATTTCAATTATGTGGGGAGTAATAATGGTGCCACCTACTCCCCCCGCACCCAAAATGTCTCAATTTCCACCATATGGGAAATGGTGATAGTGCCACGCCTCACCTGGTGCCACCCCTAACCCCTCACGGTACGTAGTCTTCCCGTAGTCGGTCCCATCTTCCAGTGTCTCCCGGCCAGTGATCTTCGCGAGTCTTCCTCCCCCGCCCATCCTGGGATGAGCTAGTAGCTCCAGAATTGGCCGGGTTGGGGGGTTGGGGGCACCCCTCCCCCCCCCATGCGCTGCAGTGGACCTTCTTTGTTGCAATGCGGCTTATCCCCCGCAATCATTTGACTGCCTCCATTGCACAAACCGAAAAACTATGGCTAAACCCAACTGGCAATCCACGGCAACTAACAATGCAGGCTCTCCCCCCACCGAAAGAATAGACATCCTCGGAACAATTATCAAACAAATGATTTCGCTGAATGATGAATCATGATGAATCTGTAAGCTGATGCAAGGTGGATCAGCTGGCATGCCCACTACAGTATGCTGCATGACTGGTTCTTTGGGCATGAGTTGAGATGCTTGTTTTCCAATAGAGGTAGCGGTGTCTCAACTGAGATGGATGGTGATGTGTGTTTCTCATGGGTTTGTGTGCTGTTCTTCTTTGAGCCCTGTTTGGGTTTGGAGGGAGCCAAGCATTCATCCCGTGTCTGCTTGTTTCGGATGTGTGGTGCGTGAGCTGGTTTGGATCCAGGACCTTCACTTGATGTGCATCGACCGTGGCCAGCTGTTTTGTGGAAGACAAGGTGACAGCTCAGCGGAAGATTCTGAGTGTTTGAATCGTTGACTATGACGCACTTTTGCTTTGAGCGAGAGCGTAGGGAGAGAATGCGGGAGCCATGTGGAAAGTGCTTATCCTGGCGGGTGCCATCGCGGAGGACTGCTTCGAAGCTTGGAGTGGGTGAGGTGGACCTTTGCATGTGTCGGCCGCAACACAGCCAAGCGGGCCATTGGACATAGCATGAAGTACCAACGACGTGCCTATGGCCTACACCGGTGCCGTGTGCATGCTGTGTTTCTTTCAGCGGGCTGAGGAATCCTTCGAAGAAGATGCAGGCCTACATCAGTTCAGCAACCGGGCTGCAGCCATGGCAGTTGGGCGGGCGGGATAGCCGCTGTTCCCACACACACACAGGAACAAGGCTCAACCTTTGGGAATTTTCGGTTTGAGCGGCATCTTCCTGACGGCCCCTGCACAGACCCCACTTTCCTCAGCTTCGATGCTGTGCTTGAGGCGTGGGTTTGCCCAACACAGACGAGGACCTCTTCCGCTGCTCGTCGGCGAGCATGTTCAAAGGATGTGCTTTATGCCGCAAGAGAAGCTCTATCGCGGCACTGAACATTGAATAGTACTCGTACCCTCCAACTGCTAGCAAATCTGCAAAAAGGTCCAATCAGAGAAGGTTCGGACAGCCAGACAGAGGCTGAGGAGACTCTACTCAAATGGGAAAGATGCCAGAAATAGTCCCAAGACATTTTCCCTGGTGCTTTTTCGGACCGACCGCAGGAGCCAGACACGAGCGCACGAAACCACACCGCAACGGAGTGACTCCTGCGCCCAGGCTACTATGCCATGCAGTGTGTGCACAATGGCGGCCACTTTCTGCTTTATCGGTCCTCCTTGCGCAGCACCCTGAAGCTTGCAGAGCAGGGTTATTGGCAACTTGGCTTGGCCTGGGACATTTCACTGGCAAAGGAAGGTTGTCAGCGAGGGAACTTGTCAAGCTGACTGTTTGTTGCTCGCCACTACTCTGACTTGGATCCTTGTAATTAGTCAAGGTTATCAGTTCAACCTGCCCTTTCCTTTTAACCATGTTGGAGGAGAGTTGCCGAAATTATTTGACAGCTGTTTGACTTGCATGTCGTTTGTAACCTCTTAGACTTCTGGGCATCATAATCCTTTGAGGTAAATGATCAGGGGAACCTGCAACAAAACAGATGTTGGACTTGGCCTCAGCAGCTTTTAGCTGGACACAGCTGTAGAATTGAAGTGGCTTTCGAGGGAACGCTGCAAAGAATGGAGTTTGTGCAGTAAGCCGGGGAACGCAGAGAGTTTGGTCCCCGTAAGTAATGCAAATGGCAGCGTTCCAGGCACCTTGTGGGAAAGGGCCCAGTGCTGACCACGCTTGCTTCTTTCCTTGCTACTGGCGTGTTTGGTCAAGACATGCCTTGGCCTTGGCAAAGAGGTCACCGATGCTTAGACGGAAATTTGGAACCATCAAACCTCCGAATCCATGAGCTTGTGGCAGCTTGAGACGTCACTGCCAGGGCTGCTGTGCTCCAAAGCTTGGAGCAAATGAGCGCGGAGGAGATCTATCGCCTGGAGAATCTGGGCATTTGCGCACCCAGGACTTGCGTTCCTGAAATCAATCTGCAGTTTGTCTTGTGCGTGTTTTGCCTCGGGCGGCCCCATACCACCAAAGCAAGTTACACCAGTGAAGCCGAAGCCCCATCACCAACTGGCGCTGACCAGCGCTGGCCCTCGAATCGAAGCTCGCGACAGGCATTGCTCCGAGGAGGAGGAACTTGGCCTCGGCTGGCGCTTCTTGGCACGGAACGTGTTGCCGGAGCTGCAAGAGTTGACGAACCACGGTGGCACCATCTTGGAGAGGCTCGCGATGAGGGGGCACCTGTGGTTTCAGTCAGTGATGAAAGGCTCGACTTGTTTGGGTTGTACTTTCCCTGCTGCGGTCCACTAGCAGGGGCTTGTGGTGTTCTGACTCGTTACAAGCAGGCATTGGTAGTCTTGCGCCTATTGCGAGTTGGGTGCTGACTGCAACAGCCTGTCCGCGGTTGCTCTCATTTACAAACGTGCATGTTGGCTCCGAGTTGCTTAAATGGGTGCCTCCTGGCGGATTTGTGCAGGTGCTGAGAGCACGCACCAGGGGCAAAGATGCCCAAAGGCTGACAGGGTGGTGATATTGCAAGGCTTCGCTCTGAACTGATGGTAGATTCAATCACTCACGGAGCTTCCTGAACTGATCTTGCTGGCAATGCTGGGGATGCCAGACATTGACAGAACTTCTTGCTGATGATGCCGATGATGCGGATGATGCACTTGGCATCACCAGAGACTGTCAAAAGTCCAGTGGTCCAACACATGGATTTGCGGAAGACGCAGAGGTGGGGCAACACACTCTATGTTCATCTCCTTCTTGGGGGGGCTCTGTTTTTCTTCTACCATGTAATTGGGGTCGATTGTTCATTCCGGCTCTCCAAGTCCGAAAGCGGCTGCTGCTGAATATCTTGATGGTTCCTACTTCCACGTGCCGTAAAATTTCGGTTGACTAGCGGTTCGCTTTCATCCCCGGCCGTCGGGAGGCTGACCACGCAGCTGGAGGTGGAGACGAGCTCCGCCACCGAGCTGCTAAAAACAGCCTTGTCTGGGTGGATGTCGGGCCGGGGCAGTCCCGAGCGCTGCTTCCAGCAGGTGATCAACAGCTGCGACTTTCAACGCTCGCCTTTGGAACCGGCCAATCCACCTGGCCGCCTTGCCATCGCAGTGCCTCAGCTGCATCGGCAGGCTACAACTCATGAAACGTGTCCCAGCTTGGCAAAGTCTGGTAAAGGTTGCAGGTCAAGTGGTATGTCTTGCATTTGCTCAGGTTATATGGGCTGAGCAGTAGAAAATGGATTTGTCCCAGCATCAATCGTGTGTCATAAAAGGCGGCTCATTCCTGTGTTCGGGGAGAGATTCCTGGCTTCCCTGATCAATGCCCTGGCTTTCCAGTCCGAGACCGAGCGTTGTTTCTTTCAACCTCATGACACGTGTTTGTGCTTACTGAGTTGAACAGACCCAAAGAAAGGCACCACGCCTCCCTTACGGCCAGGAGCTCAAGGCCACGAGAAAAAGTTGACATGAGACATGTTGCTTTGAGAACATGCTACAACAGCTGTTTGAGGAGAGGATTCCCAAAGTAGGCACGCTGAGAACCTTTGGTCCTTCCAGAATCTTAATTTTGTGTCCAAGGTGGTTGGGCTGTTGGCGCGGCTTGCAGATCCCGCATCTATCATGGAGAAAGTGGTGGCTCCAGCCGTGGCCAAGGGCATGGACGTGGATTTCTATGCCACTCGCTTTCAGGGCTTTGGCAAATTGAAAAGTGGCACTTGCGGCTAACCAAGAAGACAGCTTCTCGAGTCTTGTTAAACAATGTTGTTTTCTCCAGGCTTGGAAGTTGGTCGCACTTGTGTATTTTTGGATGCAGGTGTGTTTGGGCCTGACCTTGCCGTTCTTCCACTCCTGGTGGCAGAACCCCTTGCCCAACCCTGCCATGGTGAACGCCAGCCTGGAGGAGGTGCGGGACCAGCTGGTGACCCAGGCCCGGAGCTTCGGGGTGCGCCACGCCGTGGTGACGTTTCTGCCCAACGACATCGAGGTCCGCAAGCCCAGCCGACCTGGGCCCTACCTTGGCCGCAGGTGGGATGGCACCCTCCGCGGCTTCCTGCACCTTGGCGGGTGAAATGGTTTTTTGCTTTTTGCTTGTTTTTTTCCTAGCAAACCACCTCAAAAGTGGTTGGGGGACAAGAATCCCCATCTAAATGATGTCCACCAAAGGGTTCCTGATCAAAAGTCATACCCAAATAGGAACCATTTGGGTGAAGCCCAAGAAGTTGCTTCATGCCAGGGCAGTGAGTCGAGCCAAAAGATGCAGTGCGTCAAGCCAAAGATTCCTCAAATTCTGTGAGCAATTCAACAACCGCATGAACGCGCTTGACCCATATAACATACACATACACCGTTATGTAACCCGACTAATCCGCTTGCCTGGCTGCACTTGACACTGTCGAGCAGGGAACGAAAGCGGCTCTGCAAGATTCTGCGAAGGAGGCCTTATTTGAGAAATAGTATACTTACAGCATGTGTTGTTTCAGGCTGCTTCAGGTATGCGATAAGATCAGCCTGCGATGTTCAGTGCAACTGGGATGTACAGCATTGTGCTCCACATTCTAGGCAGGTGTCGCAAACTTATGCTTGTTGGCTGGTTGATTCATGTCCACAATTTTCCACTCCCCCCACCTTTTGGTGGAACGGGCTGCCTTCCCACTCTATCCAGTTGAGGAGAGTGAGACAGCAAATGGAGCTGCTGTGGAACTTTAGCATTGAGCCTTTCACATCGGTGGGGGGAAGCTACAGCCATGTCATGTACATCTTGGAGGACTATTCCATGGTGGATGAAGTGGACCTGTCGCTTTTTCCAGATCCATGGACTGTTTACAGTCCCAGATTTGGAGTGCTCTGTGATGCCTACAGGGACCGGGCCAACCTCGCCCGGCCAATAAACACGATGATGATAGTGGGTGGCGAGGTTGCAAAGACGTTGCTGTCATCGGTATACACACAGTTCTATGCCGATGACAAGCAGGACCTGGTTGCAACAGCGCAGTCGGTCGAGCACTACGTTCAATTGCACGCAGAGGCCAATGGAGTATCCTGGGCCTTTGTCCCACAGAATTGGTTGCCCGGAATGCGGGTGACCTTCACGCTTCTTGTTGCAATTCATACTTGGACTACGCATACGGAAGGATTTGTTAGCTGCTGGCAACTGTGCGTTTGCCCACACAAAGCTTGATGTTGTTTTCGGGAAGTCATGCCCCAATCTTTGATTGTGTGCCATTGCTGGTGAGGCTGCCTGAGCCCGACGGAACGCCCGTCCCTTGCTACAAGGCCGGGCAAAATCATGGATTGGGAGGGACATCGGGGATCTGGTCATCCTGAGGCAGGCAACGCAGAAACAGCGAGGAGGGCAAGGGATCAGTGTGTGGACCTGAGCAAGCTGAAGTACGCCTTTTGCGAGGATTTGCGGAACAAGCAGTTAGAACTTAGTTCTTAGTCTCCTTTGTCGATCGGCGCGTCCGGATATCGGCGTGTCAAGATTGGCTTGAGCGCCGATATCCTTTCCAGGGAGCTCAGGGAGGGATATCGGCGCGGTTGGATATTGATGCGTCCGGATATCGGCGGCGCTCATCGAATCGAAGGCCTAGGGAGGGATATCGGCGTGTCCGGATATCAACACGTGCACCAATCATGGAGAAAAATATAAAGTCAATAGATTAAGAAACGATAATGGATATATGATCAATGTATGTAATGGTTATTATGTTTGATTCATTCAAAACAAAATAAACAAATAGATCTATATGATTATTGTACTATATAAATGTGATTTGTGGTGGGTATATAAAGTATATGAATGGTGTAATATATTTTGTGTTATTGTATGATATATGATTGAACTTTTGGATTATATATAAATATATAATTGGATTATAAAAAAAACATGAAATTGATTTATGATTGGATGATTTATGTATAAATAATTAAATTGTTTATTTATTATAAATTATTTGAAAATTATATATATATATATTATTTAATATATATGTGTTTGTAAATATAATTTTAAAAATATGGTATTTGTTATTTAAAATATTTATAAAAATTTAAAAAACAAAAATGAATTATATATAGTTGGGAGGATGAGGGCGGCATGATGATTTGTTAATTGGTTTTCGAAATTTATGATTATATATGGTTTTATATTTTGATAAATTCGGAATATAAAAATTGTATATTTTTTTGAATGATTTTTTAAATAATATGTTTAGGTTTAATAAAAAAAAAAAAAAAAGATTATGATTTAATATATATAGAGTATATATTTTATTTTTTTTTCCAATTATTTTTATTAGTTTTTTGGAATTTTAGGAAGAATTGGAAGAATGATAATTTTAATTATTGAAAATTCCGAATATAAATTTAATAAAAATATATAATTCTCTTTTTTTATTTTGCTTCGAGATTTTATTAAATATAAGAGAATAATAAATTTTAAAAAAATTAAAAAATATATTTTTTTTGTTTGAAATAATTTTAGTTTTCTTATTATATTTGATTTATAATTATGATTTATTTATATAATTATAGAATATGTATTTATGTTTATTGTTTATCTTGAATATTTATATATATAATATTTTTATTAGAATTTTCGTTTATTGGTAGGTTTGTCTGAAAAATATTGTAAATGTAGTGTTATTTCTGCTAATTAAGTATGTATTATGAATTTTCTAGATATTTAAATTTATATTTATGTTAAAAAATTTGTTTTTTGTGGTTTGTTTATAATTTGTTTATAGTAGATTGTTCTTTCGAAATCGATTAATTAATTAATATAATTAAAATCTATATACTTATAATTGTTATGGATTTCTAAAAGTGGTAATTTTGTTGGAACTCACCAATAAATTAATTAATCGGAATAACCGGATATTGGTTTATTGGCTTGCGGAGTGCTATTAGGACCTATATGAATTCTTATTTTTCCATGAATCTATGTTTTAATATATAAGGAATAACTTAATTATATATACTTATCTACGACTATGAATTGGATTTTTTTTTAATTCATACTTTGATTCTATTACTCTCCTGCTATGGGCTTCATCTCGCACGCTATTGGAAAACAACGGACCCCCATTAATATAAATATAGATTTATGAATTCAAAAATATAATAATATTTGTATATTTCCTCGAATAATCTTTCAATAATTTCGATTTAAATATATATAGATTATAAATATAATATTTATTAAATATTATATTTAGATTTATTTGAAATAGCTGGCTCTTAATATCCTAATACCCGATATAAGGAGTCCCCAAGCAAGGGAGCTCGTTTAAGTCCCGATCCCGGAATTTATGATAAGATAAGCAAAGCCCAATGGCCATAAGAAAAAGGGTATGTTTGATTGGTTAATTGATTTTAATACGGGTTTCACCTTTCCTAACAAATTAACCCAATAAATCCCTTAATTTGAGCGTTAAATACCCCATGCTCATCATGAAATTCGCAAACTACTTGCTGAGAATACACTAACTCTCAGGTAACAAAATGACTAGACTTTAAAACCTTTCCATGTTCTCAAGCTAAACACACCGCGCCGGCTGGATGCATACCATCAGATATAACCAGGAGCAGGAAATTTGCCTAAAACGTCTCTTCAATAAACATCCCATAATCGTCCCCAAGAACTTAAAAAGGGGAAAAAGGTGACACTAACCAACAACTTAATTACTATCAATCTGTATAACCATCCATCGTTCCAGCACTTAAAATACATTTATATAACGCTAAAGATTTATAATCAAAACATCCTTAATGCTAGTAAACCCAACCAAGGGTTCCCAATCAATTATACCCATAATAATCCCTATTTCAATCCAGTTTGCAGCCTCTCTCTGGCCAAAGCTGACTCCGTGTCTCAAAATTCCACTTAAAATTACGACAAACCGCCTTCCAAGCTAGACAAACCTAACCGAGATCAATATACCTTTTCGATTCACCAACGTTCCAAATAGTATTTATCGAAAAGACTAAAATATATAATCCAATAATTCATATATATTTAAAAAATATCCTATAATCTTCTCAAAAAATTAACACGAGAATCCCTCAACTTAAGGCGCTAGACACCTCATGCTCATTATAAAATCCGTAAATTGTTTATTAAGAATACACTAACCCTCAAGTAACGGACTTTAAAACCTTCCACGCTCTCAAGTTAAGCACACCACGCCGATTAAATGTTATGTTTACCACCAAATATAACCAATTTCTTTAACACCGCACAAACGTATTATTCCCAGTTACCCAACGACCCTAGCAGAAAACGGATACCTGTATTAGGGATAACCCCCAGCAATTGCGGACTTGCAACACTTACGCTATATCCTATCGGAAAAAAAAAAAAAAAAAACAATTTAAATACATTTATATAACGCTAAAAAATTATAATCCAAACATCCTTAATACTTGGACGGAAATCCCAAAGTAAACCCAATCAAGGGTTCCCAATCATTTATGCCCATAACAATTCCTATACCAATCCTGTTTGCAGCCTCTCTCTGGCCAAAGCTAACTCCGAAATTACGACAAGGCGCCTTCCAAGCTAGACAAGCCTAACCGAAATCAATGTGCTTTTTCGCCTCACCAACATTCCAAATAATGTTCATCGAAAAGACTAAAATATACAATCTAGTAATTCATACGTGTTGGAAAACCCCTATGTTCTTCTCATATTAGAAAGCCTGCGCTCCTCTCCTCAAATCATTTTGCCCACAAATTCATGGAACGCACGAAAAAACAACCGATTTTAACAGCGATCTCCTTCTCTCGCACCGGTTCCACTTTATACCTCCGCTGGCTGGCGCCCAACGACTACCCTTGCCTGGCATAGCCATGGACTTGGATAGGGGAATACACAAATATAGGGGACCCAAAAATTGATATATATTTTTTGTGGCGGCCCTTTTAAACCAAAGGTCAAAAGGGTAAAAACAAAAACAGGCAGCATTCTATAGAGTAATATGGGATCAAAAATGCCTCGGATACAGAAAATGTGTCCCTTTCTCTGTTGGCAATATGGACTGGTTTCCCTGAATTATTTTTTTGGGGAAAAAAATATAATACTAATCAAAAAATTAGTTGTTTCGTATCGATCCTGTAACAAGTAAGGCTCCATATATTGTCATTTTCAATTTCACCTCAAAAAATCATTTTAAATTGGCCCAAAAGGTAATGTTTAAAATCGCCAAAAGGGGAAACCAATCATTATGTCTTCCGTATATATGCCGGGGTAACCCGGACAAATTTGGGTAAGTGGATCGTAAGACATATGAAACGGTTATATCTTCCAAAAACAACCCGGACCAATTTCCCAAAATATCCGAAAGTTTTCGACAAAATAGTCTAAGAAAATACAAATAAATATGACCATCGAATTTCACGACTTCAATTTTTAGAATATATCAATTTTATATTCAAATTATTCCTATTATTAATACTAATGATTTGCCATAAATAATTAGTTAATTATAATTCAAAACAATTTTTTTAAATAAAAATATAATATATATATAATTAAAATTTTAAAAATATATTTTTTTTAATATAATAATTATATTAAAACAATATATATATATATAAATTATATAATTTATTATTATTAATTTTATATATATATATATTAATTTAATAAATCTATATAAAAAATAAAAAATATATAATTTAGTTTATTAATATTATATTAATTAATAAAAAAAATAATTAATAATTAAATAAATTTATAATATAATTTAATTAAACATATATTAAATATATATAATTAATTATATAATTTAATCAATATTTATATATTCTTATATATTATTTATAATTATATGTGTATTTATTTATATATTTATATTTATATAAATTTAATATATATATATATATAAATTTATGATTTTACATATAATTATATTAAATTGGTTAAATAAATAATTATTATTCTATATATGTTTTACATATAATTTATAAATATTAATATTTTAATTTCTTTTTAATATAATATATAAATAATATTATATTTTATTTATTTAAAATAAAATAAATATTCATTATATTAATTTATTATTTTAAAAAAAAATATTATAAAATTATTTATACAATAAATTAACATTATATATATTATACATATATTATAAAAAGAGAGGAAACAAAAACTAAATTAAATTTTACAATTCTTTAACAATATAATTTAAATCTTTTCGTCGAAGTATCATACCAAATGGATTTAATGCATAAATCTGAAACGCAAAATATGCCTCGAAAATCCCGACTTCGTAATACAAGTGCACTTAAAACGCATTTCAAACTTCCGCAATTCAGCCAAAGACTCGTACAAATACAAGCTTCTTACCACTAGCGCTTAGAACATCACACTGCGCCAAAATATCTGGTGGCTACGACAACACCAAACAAAGAAGCTGAACATGGCAAATGGGCGAGGATTCACATTCGGCAGGTCAGGGCATCGGTTGGGGTATCGGTTGGGTATCGGTTGGGTATCGGTTGGAGTGTCTTGTCGGTTAGAGCGTCGGTTGGACCGTGGTTAAAAATGGACTTGGTAACAAACGTATGCAGGTCTTCTCTCTCCTATAAGATGTAAGGTATCATGCGAAGGGGTGTCGGTTTTTGGGGCGTCCCGTATCGGTTATATATGGTTTAGATGTTTTGCAAAAACCCAAGTCCAGTTTTGCTTTAAGTCCTTTGTCGATTGTTTTGTCGGGCACTCATATCTACATAGTCGATATATAATTTATATTGCTCAAGAAATGAATCAATGTTGTTGGATAAAGAAATGAACAGTTGTAAGAAATTAAGTCCTGCTGGTTTTGCCCGACCAATGTCTTAACAAACTTGTTCTGAAATAATTTAGCAAAAAGAACCGTCAACCGAAGAGGCCGCTACGAAATTGAGTCCTGAATTTCTTAGCCAAAAAAAAACATCAAACCGAACTAAGAGGTTGAGCCCGGCCCGTCAACACATCAACCGAAAAGGCCACTACTGAGAGTCGAACCTGCAAATTTCCCGCAGGCTGCAGCCAAGACAATGGGTTGACGGCCCTTTTCGCTAAGAAATTCAGGACTCAATCTGCTAGCAGCCTCTTCGCTTAACGGGCTCTTAGGCTTTCGGAGTGGTATTTTCAAGCCCTAACACTGGACGTTCAGAAATTGAGCACCCCCTGCGTCTAAACCAAATTCTTATCCGCTAGGGCAAAAAGGAGTCCGGTCCTTCAGGTCGAACAAGTTTGAGTTAATAGCCCGGTGTTGGTGGCTTGAGACAAAGATTGTAGCACGTGCTGCATTGTGAAGTATTTTGCCTGGAGCATCATTGCATTCCAGCAGGAACCTTGCGCAAAGGCAGACATCACCAATACGCGGAAGGAGCTCAGCAACGCTGAGAAAATCAAGCTTCCGCAAAGCACAGCTGGGCTTCCGCGCCTGTGCGTTTGCAGAGGCTCCCCTGAGTTGCTTGCAAGCATGTCTGCTGGCAAGTGCTTGCGCACCCCAAGCTATCCGGGGCTCAAGCTCAGCACGACGCCTGCAGTGGGCATTGAAACTGCGGGAAACATATTGCCATGGGTCAAAATCCCGTACCCCCAGTGAACATCCCAATCCCCACTAAAATAGACTAAAATGGGTGGTGCACCTACCCCAGAATGATACCATTGGTGTTGACCCACAGCCATATCATATCACTCATACAGTGCAATACCGAGGTTGCCACAACCTGCGTGCCAGAGGCAGCAAATGAACCTTGCAAGCATTTCGGGGGCCCAGGCATCACTTTTGGGGAGCATGTCAAAATTCGGCCTCAAACAAAGCAGCGGCAGACTCTGCGTCCTTGAGGTCAGCAAACTGCCTCACCGCATTTCTTGATTCAAGTGATTCAGACGGCTGTTGCTGATGCTAGTACCTCGAGCATTCTCAACCTCATGTTGCGTACTTCATGCCAGATTTCTTGCAATGCGCATTGAAATACTCGACCCTGTCCGTGACTTTCCACCTGCCGCTTCTTTGTACGTGTGTGTATGCCTCGCCCAGGTGCGCACCTGACTGTGTGTGTGCGAGTGCGTATGCCTCACTTAGGTGGACACCTAACCAAAAAAAGACCCTGCTTGAGAGGATCGTGCAAGCTTATCAACACATCTGCGAACGTTCCTCCGAGCAGTCTCCACCAGCAGCTCCACAAAAAGTTCGAAGGCCTGCAAGCGCAAGTCGCTCCAATGAATTCCATCCCATGTCAAATACGTGCATCTTAGGAATAGGCCAAGGCTGGCTCACCCGAGTCCGCGGGACTGCCGAAGCGCTCAGTGGTCTCGTGAAAGACCGCCTGTCACGTCGCGTCCGGCACCCTTTCGCCCCCAAAATCGAGGCGCCTCCAGTTCAGGAGGCGACAGCCGCAGTTGAGAAGCTTGCGCCAGGCGCAAGTAGTCCTGAAAACCATTCCAACATCGCGATCCCCTTTCCGACACATGTAGTGCAAGAATTGCACGTGGAATGCTCGTTGCTTTTGTTTCATCCTCCGCCACGTGTCAAGCACTTTGGCAATCTCAGGTCTTCGACATGAGAAGAAGCACTTTGTCGGGGCAGGCTCCCTATCCATTGCTTTGCTCGCGATCCAGAACTGCTCAAAGCGTCTGGCAGGCATTATCTGGGCGTTTGGTAATCTTTGTAAGTTTCACGATGCAGCAAATGTCGGCAGCAGCAAGTCACCACGCCTGCTGGCTGCTTGAGAAGCTTTGGATCGGGAGTTTCAACAGGAACGCCCAAACTCCATGGCACCAGCTCACTTCTTTGTAGCCGTCTTGACAAGCTACTTTGTTTTTGGTGCCTCACGGAATGTCGCAATGTCACATCGCGATGATGGTGGCCCACATTGCTTTCTTGCAGAGACTTGCGCTGCTATCAGGCTTCATATTGCCGCCAAGGCTCTGATTCGCTGACCGGCCGAAAAAACACAGTTGGGAACCATCCTGCCCGTGGCCAAAACTGCTGGCAAGCCAAGAGTACCAACCGCAAACGGCTTCTCGCTAAACGCACCTAGTGCGCAATCATTTCACCGTACCAAGGCCTTCTTCGCCGGTCAGCGTCGCTCCATAGGACCATCCGTTGACGTGATGATTCCGTCCTGCCAGCAAACTCTGATTGGGTTCTGGGTTCGATTCTGCGCGGTAAGGAGTGCTGCCGAGGATCTCATGAGCACAAACTCGCCCCGCAGCAGATCGAGGTGCCTTGGGCAAAGCAGCAAGCCAAATCAACATGGATTCTCTTTTGTTTAAGTTTAATTTGAACTTGCAACCTGCAATGTTGCTCCCTGAAAAACACCTGAATTGAATGGCAAAATATAGGGCTCGAGATGCTTCCAGCCAGGTTGAGCTGGATCTTTGAAGTCAGATCCTTATCTTGAGGCAGTCAAGGCATCCTGATAAAGGCGCGCTCACGCAAAAATAGTAGTGATGACCTAAAGCCTTCGATACACAAAAATACTGGCATTCGCCGAAAGTTTAGTGAAAGTGAGGTGAATGCCACGACAGCTCAAGATGCATGGAAATATGATGAATCATGCGTTGTTCAGCAAAGAGTCCACGGAAGTCAGAAACTGCTCTCCCCACCTGATCAGCGCTCGATCTCCCAGCCTCACGAATTGAATGCAAATCAGCAAGCCGAGATACTGTGAACCGCAACGACCAACAAAACACATAAAATGAGTATTCCATATGCAAAAAGGTGACCCCAAAGTTGTGGTGATCTTTTTTCCCTCCTTTCAGCCACCCCTAAAACACTCCCAAAAAACACATTCCCGTCAAATGTCATTCCATGGTGAAGCACGGCAGCCAAGCAACCGAGTTGGATGGGCAGGCGCTATGTGCCTTTTCGTTTGGTCTCGATGAGCCATCCTGAGCGGAGGGTTTTGGATGGAGGGGCAAAATGCGCGGCGTAGAAGAGAATCAAGGTCTCACAGCCGTGAACAACAGCGATGTCTGTGGCAGGAGCAAGATTTGCGAAACACACGTCTGAACTTTGACTGCAGCTGACGTGGCAACAAACAGTCCGCCAAGGCCAACATGCAATAGTTCTAGCCATAAGTTCCACCGGCCCAGAAAAAAAAGAAAGCCCGGGCCGACATCTCTGAAATGCGGGGGCATGGTGTCTATCTTTGGGATAGGTGGGCCTGCCAAAACACGCACGAAGAGAAAACACTCGCCTGGCAGTTCCGGTGCTGTGCCTGGTGGGCATCCTGGCAGATATCACATTGGTTCACCCAGCGGGTTTGTCACTTGCTGTACGTGTGATGCTTTGGGCACGTGCTTTTTGTTCCCGTGAAGATGCTGCAGTCCCGCGAAGCAGGCCGGCCCAGCAATTGGGCAGAGCACAACTTGGAACCTTGAAACAGACCGTGTGATTTGTCATCTGTTTGGCTTTCAAAAGGATAGGCAACTCCCTGAAACATTCAATGACTCAAACCTTTGCCCGTCCTTTTGATAAGCCTGTGGCACAAAGGCAGGAATAGATGGAAACGACGGGCAACAAAGGCCGGCGATGCCGGCGTCAGGAAACTCGGGACTCCATCCATGTTGAATTCAGATTCATGGCTGCAAGTCTTGCCATCTCTGTAAGGCCCTTGCTTTGCGGACGTGTGCACATCGCAATGGGACGTGTTGGAAGGCACCGCGACTCCCTGCAGCTCAACGGGCACTAAACGTGCACCTTGGGGCCTAGAGCAAAGAGCCCTCATAATCCGGGCACACCTCCGAATGCCGTTTCAAGGAATGCAAGTCGAGTGGGGCGTCGAAGTCCTTGCCATCATCGTCATCGAAAGGCGTGATCTGGCGAGATGCGGACTTGCTGTCGATATCGCTGGCAGTGGTGGACACGGGCGCTGACGCGGCTGAGGCGTCTTTGAGTTGCAACTCCTTGGTCTGGACTCCCCACTTTGCTTGACTGAAGCCTGCGTACATGGTGGCCACCATGAACCCGGAGACCATCACCCAAGCGTTCTCCACCTCCTTGGTGAAGCTGTCCCCGAGCCACTCCGCCAGCACTTCGATGAGCACTTTGGAGGCGATGTTGAAGCAGTGGCCCTTCAAGCCATAGCCCACGTGCCGCGCGCCCAGCTGCTGCAACATGGGCACCAGCTTCCTGAAAAAGGACGGCAAAAAAAGCGACAGCTTTGTAAGCTAGTTGAGAAGGAAATTATGAAATGAGAATGCAGGGAAAAGGGCAAAACACACAAATGGCCATGGGTCCCAAATCAAAAAGGGATCAAACAGTGAGAAAAAGGCTTACCGCCTCAGAGCTTCTCCGTGTCTTGCATCCCGGCCACGGCGCTGCCCACCACCGTGATGAACTTCGCCCAGAGCTTCCGCAGTGCCGGGGAGTCCTCCGGATCCTCCCCCTCCTCCTCGTCCGTGTCCCAGTCCTTGTAGCGCAGCCGCACCGAGATGGGGAACAAGGCCTTGGCGTTGGGCTCGATCTGGAAGAACTTCTTGTAGAAGAGTCCACCCACCACGTCGGTGCCCAAAGCCTTGACCTGCTGCCAGCTCAGCTGCACCGCCGTCATGGTGGTGTTGCAGGGCTGGAAGGCCTTGCTTTGCAAAGTGCGGGGCGGCGCCGTCATTGATTCGCACTCTTTCAGGTTCCGCTTCAGCTTGACGATGTGTCCGGCGGGCATGCCCATCTCCCGCATGTGTGGCTCCTCGATGCACATGAGCGTTTCCATATCGTCAAACCCGTGGTCCCGCATCAGCTCGGCGTACTGCCCCAAGTTCAGCTCGCGCAGAAAGGCGGTCACGGGACTCTGCTCCAAACGGCGCCGGGCAGCAGGGCCGGAGCCCACACCCCCTCCCAATGGCCGGAGCGGCTTCACCGCAACCTCCTCCCGGCGCATCTGGCGGGCAGTGTTACCTGAGATCTGTCGCTCCTGGCGGTATCCCGACATTGGAGACAAAGAGCACTGGACGCTGGGGGCACTGGTCTAGATACACGACCAATTGAAAGCTCAACCCCAAGCACTTGAGCCAAAAAGGCTGTTCCCCATGATTGACTGGACATGCCTCCTCCTGTAGCCGCTGTGTGCCGTATTGCCCCACGTGAATGTGACTTGCTAGTAGACACGGAACTCATGGGCAAGGGATCCATGCCTTCTCTGAGATCTCTACAGAATGGGTGTCGATGTTGGAGATGGTGTGTTTCCTTGCCGTGACTCAAGATATGCCGCAGTGTCTCAACCACCTAGTCCGTATGATCAATTCTTCTTCAGCCATAGAAAAATGGTCGCATGGCCAAGAATGCCAACTCAAAGCTCGTGAAAGGCGAAGCGGCGTCATCGCGCGGATCCAAACTTCGTCATCTGGGCCTACTGTAGATTCAAACCTGAGGACACGCCCTTGTCACGTGATTGTGATTGCTGCATGCCTTCTCAGTGACACTTGGCTCGCTGAAATGCTTCCCTCTTGACCTCACGCAGAGCCTGGGCAAGTTGTCCCTGTTGAACATGGTGTTGATGATGAAGTCCACATCCTCCCTGACTTGCTCCTCACTCGCAAGAAAGAGCCGAAAATGGGTGGGGTGCCATGTATATAAGCCAGGCTTCGAAGTCTGTGCTGCGGCAGTGAGGCTTCAGGCAGGGGGCCAAATCCATCAAGCGGACGAAGCCACCTGAGCGCCATGAATGCCCACTGCGCGGTGGTCGAAGCCTGCATCCAACTCTTGAGCAAACTGCAAAAACAAGTTTTTCGGCTGGGAGAAATCATCCATCTTCCCCAAAGCTACGCAACATTTCTTTCCTATGGCGATTGCTCGAGCTCAAAACCGCGATGGGTCCCCTGCCTTCGCTGAAGTACAAGCCACGCCTTCTGCCAGCATGCCTCAAGAGGCAGCTCATCGCCTTCAAAGGCTCTTTCTCTTCGAGCGGTTTCGTGTCTTCGATGTTCTTGTGGTCAAAAAATGGCTGTGGGTCAAAACCCTGTACCGCTGGTGAACATCAAAATAGGTGGCAAATGGATGTTCATTCACCCCAAACTGGAGCCATTGGTCATGCCCCATGGCCAAATGTTTCAGGCGAACAAGATTCTGCGCAAATCCGGGCCTTGGAGACACCGTTGTAGTAGGCTTGATCTTTGACCGGATCTTTGCGAGCGCGAGTCATGGCAACTCTCGTCGCGAGGTGCTTGGCTGGTGCTAGGCTTGTCAGAATTCGAAGCGTTTGCTGAGAGGTAACGGAGCTGCCACATTCGCTGAGAGCCAAAAAGAATGACCCAAAGAGCTGGCAATCGGCCAATCTGACAAGAACTGCTCACGAGGCAGGGCAGGCTCAGTCCTGCAGGCCCAGCGCCACCCGCCCTGAGCGGCCACCGCCCGGCTTGGCCACAGATCCAGCCTCACCGAATGCGACACATTTTGCTTTTTCTGTTGGAATATGAGAAACTGTAACTTTCTTCGAGGCGATGTTTCCCAAGTCATGCATTCCCCAAATGCTGCTGCAAATCAGCATTCCTCGGAGAAGGACGGCCCGGCTAGCAAATGCGTGGAAGAGCTGCTTCATTGCCTCCCGAGCGCTGTCAGAGTCCCACCCCTGAAACGCAAGGTGCGGAATGAGGGCCTGCCCAAGCTCTTCAGGCGATGCTGTTCCAGAGGCGCCCACCTCAGTCCCCAGGATAGGCAAAGCAAAGCAAGCTTCTCTCTGAGGCGTGCGTAGGAACTTTGAGGGGATCGGGTCTCACCTTGCAGGCAAGCGATGGCGCAAAGCAACAGCTGCCTCAAAGCGCGCGACTGGCTGAAGTTGGGGATGCTCCTCTGGATAAAGACAAGCCTGCACAGTTCTTGAATAGAGCCAGCAGTCAGTATCTAGCACGCCTCCAGTTTGAATGCTGGGTGGTGGCGCTGGTGGTGGCGGTGGCCTAGGTATTAAAACTCAAAGCCACTTTTGCCCTAGAAGCTCGGATTCAAACAACAAGGCCCTCAGAACCCGCAACCCCACATCCTCAGGTGACGGCGCTCGCAACAAGCCAACCCCGGGGCTGCGTCCCACCTCGCCAAGAATATTCTGATCCGGGATGCGCCAACGCTTGCTGTGCTCCGCACCGAAAGGTCCAGGGCAGGCTCGGTCAGGCTAAACGTTGCCTGTCCAGCTGCAAGAAGCTGTCAGCACTTTCAGGCTTTCTGCACGAGAAAGGAGGCCGTCAATGGCATTTTGCGCTGCTGCAGTGGCAGGATACAGTTGTACGCTTAGAGCTTGTTCTGATGGAGATCCAGTTGCAAATGCCCGCTTTCCCATCAAATAATGTGCGCTCATGCTGTTTGCGGCTTGTACAGTTCAAAGGGGACGAATGACTGGTGTACCTCTTAGGTCCATGGATGGATACCCACGCCTTTGTGTGTGTGTGCGTACGTCTTGAGTGCAAAGCATTTGAATAGGCCGTTCGTTCCCCGTCCGGCAGTCGCAAGATGGCATCTCAATGCCCGGAAGCTACGAGCATTCGGGTCATGGGGTTAGTTGGAAAGCAGAAAGTGGGCGCGCAGCTCAGTCAGTCTGAGTCGTGCAAGCCAACTACTGGGCAAATTGCCGCAACATGTCTAGTCCCTTCTAGTGATGATGAGACACTGAGATACATTTTGCCATCTAAGGTTGCAAAGGCTGGTCGCTGCTCTCGACAACACTGGACCGTAAAGTCTATCAAAGTCGCTCCAAGGCATGTTTCCCGGAACAAAGCAGGACCAGTCAATGCACGCTCAACAAGAGCTATTGACAAGTCTTATCCCACTCATTTGTTTGCCATGCGCTGCCCTCGCACCATCGTCAAGGTATCCACTGCCTGCCTCAACGCTTGGCGGCGGTACTCCATCGGCCATTGGCCTGGCAGGATTTCGCATCGCGCTGTGAAGGCAAGGGGGGACGCCCTGCCTTGCACTGCGGCCAGCACGCGGCCGCCCAGCATGACCAAAGTCAGGCGGCGGAGCCTAAGGTCCACAAAAGAAAAACCCGCAAAGCACATGAGAAGCAGATGATCAACATGTTCAAGCGCAAGCAGTGGCGAGGAATGCCTGAGGTCGTGTCCGCGTCCAGGGGTGGGGGGGTCGGTGGCGGTGCCAGCTCTGACAGCATCCGCGACTGGCAGCAACGCCAACGCAATACTCATGCAAAGGTGCTTTCAGAAGGCCATGCCTCCAGCATTGGATGCAGCGGCCGTTCCCGTGGAGTACTGGACTTCAGAATTCCAGGACTGCCGCCATCGCTGGGGGACTCGGCAACAGCCACATTCTGTTTCTGCGCACCGAATCGATCTGGCTAAGGTGACTGCGAACAAGGGCCGGGCAGCATTCCCAGCCTCCTGCTCTTCAGTACCCCGTCCGAAATGAAGCCGAACTCCGAACTAGAAGCAGTGAATTCGAATCACACGCATCCTCCTCCAACACTCGAAGCTGGCGCCTGGGCGCGGGCAAGTGATCCTGTGGATCGGCATGGCTGAGTTTTGCCATCAGAGAGTCCACACTAAGGTCTGCACTTCTTCTGCTCAATGCCCCGCTGTAGGGCCATAAGCTCCTCTTCTGCATTGGCCTGTGGGAAGGGCTCAATCTCCAAGGCAAAAGAGACTCACCCTGCCTTGGGGGCTCTTGCAACTCTGGCAGCACTCGCCTGCCCAAACTGAATTGGAAGCAAGGCTCATGGAGTTTTGTCTGAATTGCAGAAACCAAGTTGTTTTCGCAAGACCTGCCAGAGAGCCCCACCTTCTCAGGCCATGTGTGGGGTGTGGCCCCTCACGCAAGTCTCCGGAGCTCAGAACTTCACCCGATGAATTCACAGCCCTCTCCCTGCCTTCTGAAGCACCGGTTCCGGCCTAAGAACGTCCATGCCTGTCGAGCATCAGAGCAGATCAAGGAGCCAGCAGCGGGCGCATCGATGGCCGGACCTTGGCAAAACGCCCCTCTCAAGCTGGCAAGCAGAAGCTCTGAGCGGCTCACGGGTACGCGAGGGCCTTGAAAGAGCAGCATGATTGGACCAAGGTAAAGCAGACCAAAAACTGTATGTGTGTGTGTGTCACAGCATGCAGGATGTCTCCTGCATCCCTTTTGTCCTTCTGAGAGGCCGGCGGGGAGGACACTGGCGAAGGTGACCTTCGTGCTTCATCCTGAGGAATGATCTCTCAGTTGCTTGGCCACGTGATGTAGCGAGGGGCAAGTCCTTGCCACCCATCGTTTCAAGGATTCGCTTCTGCCTGGCCAAAGCAACTTTCTGAGGTGAGAAAGGATGAGCAGGAGGAAAAGTTGTCATGGAACCTATGGTCACATAGTCAATCTGACTTTGCGGATGACGGCATAAACCCGCGCTGGAAAGGCGTCAAGTACTGCTTCTGAATCTCAGATCGCATGCCTGATTGCAAGGGATTCTGCGACATGCGGCCACTGGCAAATGTATAGCACAAGTACAAACACAACCCCGCAGCGTTGGACAGTAAGCATGTTAATGTGCCTTCCAGCTGCTTCTCGACATCACCTGACTTTTGCATAGCATGGCATGGGTGGTGCAGTGTACGTGGGTGTGTGGGTGTGCCACGGCGCGTGCCTAGTTCATCTTCTCGGACGCGAATGCCCCTTTCCCACTCCTAGACGAGCATGCATGCTATCAGGTACTTTGCTCATGGTGGCAAACGATCAACTTTGCGCTTGATTGCCAGACAGTCCTGCAACCTATCAACTTCAGAGTGAATCGCGTCACCCACATGCAAGAGGACAGCCTCACCAAAAAAACATGTATCACCACCAGCGAACATGTCGTGAGTGATTGCATCAATGCGAGCTACAAATAAAGTCTGGACGTCGAGCCTGATGCTCCACCAGCTGATCGCGACACCTGGCTGAGCATGTGAGGGCAGTTCAACTCTGCAATGACTGATGAATAAAAAAAAGCTCACTACGCAATTGGTCACTACGTCATATTGGAGTGTCCATCTGCGCTTCCTTTGGTCTGTTGCTCCCTGCCTCTCCAGTTCGCTGCGCACTTCCGCCAGTCTTCGCCACTCATCAGCGGCGGACCAAGCGATCCTGGAGGCTGAGGCCTGAGACGGAGGCTGAGGCCTTGAGCTCTTAGCTTCGCTGGGCCTCCGGTGTTGGATGCCCAAATTGATCTGGGACGCGCAGACCTAGACGCACACCGGTCTGCGCTATACTCGTTGAGGAAAAAACAAAGGCGTCCTCTGTACACGACTCAACCCATCCCACCTCCAGTGACTGCCATGGAGGTGACCTCTGGAGGGGGCATGTCCTGCGCACCCAGGCGCTTGACAGATCTTCTTGCAACTCAACACCAAGGCCCCGGCTGGAACGGGCAACGGGGGGTTCTCCCTGAGCCACCGCAGTGACCTTGGCTGTTGCACATCACAGGGAGGTGCTGCACGGCGAACGGGCGGCCCGTCGGCTTGGAGCCTTTGTCCTTTTTGCCCGCGAAGCTGCTTCATTGCCCCGCACCCGTATCAATCAGAAGTGGCAGAGGCTTCACATCTGGCACCTGGCCCAAGGGACAGAATGCCCTTCTTGGACCTATGGCGGAGACAAGCTGAAACTAACAAGAACTGCCTGTTTAGCAGGTGTGGCCATGGAAATCTTCAGCTTGCAAGGATGAACCACATTTCCTTGGCTTGACAGTCAATCGCGGGATTGCTGGATTTTGCTTGCTGAGTGGGCAAATCAGCTGAGAGCTGTACCAGCTCTATGCCTAAATGCAGCTCAGCATCAGGCACTTGACCAGCAAAGGCGATGGGCAAACTTCCTCAGCCAAGTGTCTGGTTCGTGTGTGCGTGTGTGTGTGCGCGTTCTCTGTTCCATGCAAGGTTTCAGAAGGCTTGGCTGCTTCGAAACCTTGCAAAGCGTAGAAAATAACTCATTTGCCCAATGCGTTGCTGCCAAGCCTCTTCCTGACTTCCTTGAGCATTGTCCCAAGGCTTCACTGCTTGTCGCTGCTCCTGGTGTTTTAATACCCAGAAGAACCCAAACATTTGCACACAAAAGTCACCCAACCGAAAGTTATGATGCTCAATGTTGCGGCCAGTCCTGAACAGCCGTGCACTGCTGTACATGGATATCAATTGAGGCCTTGCCGAACTTCTTCCCGCAGAGGTGGCAAGCAATGTTAAAATATCGATGCGATCTGTCCAATCGCGGTGAATCTGAAGGTGAAACTAATTCCTCCGCTTCATCTTTCTGAACAAATTGTTCGCAAACCCGAACATGCTCCGCGAACTTCTCTTCGGGAAAAGTTCGATTGCAGAAGTTGCAGCTGCTGCAAGTAGCCTTCTCAAAGACATTCCGAGCAGCTCTGTTGTACTCTTCCTGCCAGGGTCTTCCACGTGAGCAATACAGTAATCTCAGCTGAATATATATGGCCATGTCAACAAAAAGCAAATACACAGAGGGAACTGAGCTACTGAAGGAACCCTGCACCCTGGTGTCGATCGAGCAAAGAAGACAGGATTTGGCGCCGGCCTGGTTGGACCTTTCAGTTGAACAAATCAGCCATTTTGGGGGACCACTTTGAGCAACTGATGACGATCCTCTTCTGCATGACCTGCGCACTGCTCCCCAATGCATGCGGGTTGGAGATGTACTGGCATCTGCTGGGGTCGAGACTAGGCTTTACTCACGGCTCTTGGGTAGCTGTGATGTGTTTTCTCTCGTTTTGGCATCTCAGTCCTGGGACATCCCTGGCATCTTGACAGGTGCTTCCGGCACTGGACGCGGCTGGGGCTTCGTGCTCTCGCTAGCTTCCCACTTCTTGATGCACGCAAGAACATGTTTGGCCTGAGGGTGCGTCTGTCTGCTGACTTTCCGTGACGACATGGTGTGGCGGATGCGCCTTGAATGCTTCCTCCTCCCCACAAACACAATCTAGCAAGGATGCTTACGTACGCAACGTATGTCACTGCATGCATGCTGTGCTCCAACAGAGCTGCTAACATCACGAATCAGCCTCTGGCTAAGAAATGCAATGTCTTTCTTCAAGATCCCTTTCCAGGTTGACGATATCGTGCTCAGTCAATACTCACAGAAAGTGCCCCCAATGTGCTGGAAAAAATCTGAAAATTTGGCCAGGCGCAATGGAGGCAGTGCCAAACTCCTTGCCGCAAACGTGGCACATCTCCAGGACAGGCTTCTTGGCTGCCTCGCTCGGCTCGCTCTCGCACGGGGCTTCCCTTGCGCACCGAAGGCGATGGACTTTCAGCTTGGCTTCCGGCACCTGCTCGTTACAGTCGGGGCACCGGAAGCAGCTGGCTTCCTGGTGAATCTTGGCTGCCACGTTGTTGTACTCCTGCAAACCTAAGCTTTCTAAGCTTGGAGGTTCTTCGGGCGCACACCTCCTGTCTTCTGGCGCCTTCAGCTTTTCCCGCTCCTCCCACTTTTTTCGGCATTGCGGCGTGTGAATGCCAATGGAGGCCTTGCCAAAGCCCTGGCCACAAATATGGCAAATGATCGTCTGGGGAGGCGCACGTAGTTTCTCGTCCTCCTGTGCAAGCGCAATTTTTGCCTTGCAGCTCCGAATGTGCACTTGCAGGCTATCCTGCGTGAATTTCTTGCCGCAGGCCGGACAACAAACTGAAACTGCTTGCTTGAAGCACTGCATGGCTGCCGCATTGTAGTCCTCTTGATGCATGCCAGGAAAGGTGTCGGGCGCATTTGGCAGAGGTCTCCTTTCATCATGTGGCACTGATGCTTGTCGAGCTTCCCAAAGCTTGGCGCACTGGGGCCGGTGGATCGCAATCGACTTGGCTCCAAAGAGCTGGCCACAAATGTAGCACACCACGCCTGCCGGCTTAGGAGTCGTGGATCGCTTGGGCGATGCAGATCTGGGTGACCTGGATGGCCTGGCCGGCTTGGCCTTCGGCGAGGCAGTGTCCTGCTCCGCCTGGCACTTCTTCTCGTGGATGTGCAGGGAGCTGGACAAAAACTGCTTCCCGCACAAGTGGCAGGGCTCCATTCTGGGAGCTCGCACCTCGCTGGCACTGCGCGTGCCAGGGCCCCACTGGCCACGAGGACTCGCCGGCCCGCTCCTCGCTCGGCCCTTGCGCCGCGCCTCCCAGAGTTTGGCGCACTGCCGCTTGTGGATCTGAATCGAGGCCAAACTGTACTCCTTCTTGCACAAGTGGCATGTGGTAGTCTTTGGCTTGGCAGAGAGATCCGCTCGTGGAGTCCGGCTTGCAGGAATGTATTCTTCTGGAGCGCCGTCCTGACCACGGCCGAAGCTTCCTGCTACATCCTTTTCCCTGCACACCCCCACCTCGCACCCTGCCTTCGCCGCCTTGTTGAATTCCTCCTGCAATTGTTGCACTCGCTCTCACTACAATCTGGGTCTACACTTCCTCTATATATTATTTAGCTGCAAAAGTGTCTCCTGAGTCATTGAGGTTCCGGTTGGCTTCTCCGGCAACTGTCGACGAGCGCTCTGGGGCTTCAACGCCTCGCGCATGTTCCACATCTCAGCACAGCGTTGCCTGTGAATCTCCTTGGCCGTTGCAGACGCCAGAGCACCACGTGTGCCCAAAACTCACACGCGGTCCCAAGCTGAGGCTGCATCGATGGACTTGGTGCCGAACTCGCGGCCGCAAATGTGGCATGCGATGCTGGTGGGCTTCTTCGGCGCCGGTGCGCTCGCTGTCGGTTCCGAGCCGCAGATGCCCAAGTGCTCCTGACACAGCTGACACAGCTGCCCCGTTCCCACAGTGCCTAGCTTCGTGGACCAACTCTGCCCGTCCTGCAGAGAGTCTGCTGGAACAGCTTGTCCACAAGTTTGGCATCTCACCTGGCCGAGCAGCTTCACCGAAATTGCATGTTCTGCGGCAAAGCAACACCCTGTGGTAGACATCATTTGCATGGGCCAATGGGTAAATGATGTCAATAGACTGTTGAAAGTCCAGCTCTGAAAATCCCGTCTGAGCCCTCCGGAGCCTGCCGGGCCCGGGTCTGCGGCACGTGTCGCGGAGAGCTGCTTCGCGCAGGTGCTGGAAATCGAGCCCTCACAGCCTTCGCCGCAGACGTCAAGCAACAAGAACGCATTGATTCGATCTTTGGTATGATGAAGCTTCAGCCCTCCCCCAAGAGTTTGCAGCCACCCTCCGGTCGTCAAACAGGAGTTTAGGGCGCAGCTTATATCGCACCCTTGGTCAAGAGCAGTCTGTGTTGAGCGGCTGCCGAAAGGCACGAGTCAATATGTTGCATAGCCATCACCGAACATGCAGCGGCGTTGCAAACCAACATGGCGCTCTGAAGTGCACGAGTCTTCAATACCGGTGGACTAAACCCTGCATCGCACGGCAAGCGCAATGAGACAACAGTATGCCGCTTGCCATATCCTGGCGAGCGCGAGCCTACAGGGCACAATCATGTGTCTTAATCCCAAACACCCACAGTCAGATGGCAGAACAAGTCAAAGCGCGACAAAAACATATGTGCTTTCACGGCCGAAGTAGGCTGCGCACAAACATCACCTTGAATTGTGGTATCACAAAGCATGAGCAGCAGCCCAATTCAATTGCAGAGACGGGAACTCGGACATGCGGGCAAAAGACCAAATATTCCTGGCAACCGAAGAGAAACACAAGCCATCAGCGGAAAGGAAGGCATTATCTTAAGATGGATCAAGAACAGCCACAAACGAAGGCCATGTTACGTTACGTGTAGTGGTTGACACATTATGTAGAATCACCAAAAAGAAACTCACATGTCACAAGACAGGAACCCTTTCGTTGATGTTGTCCTTGAGTGCAACCCTTCCTGGCTCAGGAAACATATTGTTTCATAAGCGTACTAAGCACTAAAGTCAGAATTGCGGCAAGACAGCAGATTCTTACTGATCGTTGCCTACTATCCATTCTTGCTATACTCTTGCTGCAACTCGAACAGCAGTAGAGCAACAATCCCGGCTGCGATCAGCTGGGACTTCCGTCTCAAGCAAGTAGTGTCCTAACCTGTCATGCTCCCAAACCAACAAGACTAGAAGGTGTTCTTACTGTGTCAACAGAATCATCCTAATCAACAAGTACAGGTCATGACGTTTGGCAAAGCCGCGAAGAGTTGGCACTGCTGTCCAAGTGATACCAATAGAGTAAACTGTTGTTTCTTCGGGGTTGCCATTGCACTTGGCTCTACTTGTCTTCTCCATTCAAGGTAGCCAGGTTCAGATTTTCCGACGGGTTCACCTGCTTTTCTTGTTGTCAATGCTTGCCTCTCTTGCGCCTGCCAATGTTCCAGTTCTGCCAAAGCAAATTGAGTTCTGGTCAACACTGCAATGTGCAAACCGCCGGGTTCCTTGCTTCTCAGACTCATGCAATGTGATCTGTGTTTTTGTTGCTTGGCCCAGACTAAGCAACGCCGTCACAAGCCACACATGTGATGTATGCAGAATGAAATCAGCTGAATGGCTTCATTGAACTCCTCCTGCGTCATGTCCGGCGTCAGGCGCGGGCATTCCGGCGCGGGCTTGCGCTTCTGCCGGGGCTTCCGGTTCTCCACGTCCTCCCATTTCTTGAGGCATTGCTCCACGTGCAAGTCAATGGAGGCCTAGTCGCTCTTCGCATTTCTTGGGATTGGGGTTGGGGGGCCCTCTTGGGGGTGCAAAATGAAGCCTCGGGCGCCGGCCGCTCCGAACTCGCGGCCACAAATGTGGCAGACCACCAGACAGGGGACCCAGCCATCGATCACCATCCGTGTGGATCAGCCATGGCGATCTCATGGCTCTAGTCCGACGTGCAGCTTGGGTCAGTCTTCAAAGCTGCAGCCAAGCCAAGAGGAACTGTTCCGAGGTTCCAAGAATTCAGACTGGTCGCCGAACCCAAAAAGCAAATGTACTGCTTGGCTCAAGGCAGGGCATGTATCCCCACGGCTTTCCCCACCCTTCACCCCTGAGGCATCCAACGGAAGTTGGTCCGTCAAGCTGCCGCCAGCTCCTTTCTGGATCTGGCCAGGACCCTTGCCCTTGGCCTGCGCAAACGTCAATTCTGCTGTCTGAAGAATCGGCAGGGCAGCCTTGGCTTCGTTGAGCTTCTCAGGGTTGTAGCCTCACTTTGGGAGATACTCAAAATGAATATGCCTCCTATGTTTTGTATGAGCCATCAAAAGCCACAAGAAAACGTCCGCCGATAGCTGTTCGATGCGCAGGTCGGTCAAGGCTCTCACCTATGACGCGCGGGGTCAGCGGCGACCCGCGGATAGGATGCCCATCAAGCAGCACCTGGCTTGGACAACGAAGCCCGGACATTGACGCTTGTATACTGAATGCAAAATCACGATACTGGATGTACCAAACACGTTCAAACGCACCCTCACGATTCTGACACATTCATTACCTGGTTGCTCAGCGGCCAGCCTCCAGCTTTGCAGGTCCATGAGCCCACTCTGGCACTGAGTATGTGACGGTGTAGGTGCCATCCTAGACCAACACTTGTGACCAGCCGATCTTGGGCTCGTGTGCTGGTGTGCTCGATGGATCGTTCAGCTCACAGCACCGTGCCTCGTTGTCGCTGACCTCGTGCAGACGCACGTGGGCGCTAGCGCGGACTCCAAAGCCTCAACTCGACAGAGCATACGCCAGCAGCTTGTTGTGCCATCTTCGATTGCAAATTGAGCATTCAGAAAGTCAACGCCGAGGTTGAAGCGGGCTCCTCCCTCTCCACAAAGGTTGCCGAATTCATCCATTGCCTTTGCCAACCGGAAGTTGGTCCATTGGATTTTGTCTGCCAACGTTCTATGCCAAAAAACAAAATACACCGGCATAGACCCCAGATAGCAAAAAATAAGCGGATTATTGGACATCTGCAAGACTCATACGGCTGTCAATCGCGCAAAAATGCGCCCGCATCAGCGTCCCAAAACAGCACCTACACCAGCACCCCAAATGGCTTGACCCCCAGCACCCTGCCGTCAATCTCGCCAGCACCTCAAACAACGCCTCAAACAGCACCCCAACACAGCACCAGCACCAGCACCCAAACTGCATGCGCTGGACCCTGCCATCAATCTTGCAAACATGCACACCCCAACTGCACGCCTCCTAGCACCCAGCAATCAATCTTGCAAATCACTGTCTCCTCTTTATTAGAAGTTAGAACCCCTATAGCTTTTAGCTATCTGGGAAAAAAATGCACAGCGCAATGCTTTTGAACCTCCAAGCCTGGATGTTGAACTCCGCAGAGCCTCCCAGAGTGCAGCGCTGCACTCCGTCTCCGCGAACCTGTCGAGAAGCAAGCAAGCAAGCAAGCAAGCAAGCAAGAGCCAAGCAAGTCATTACCGAATGCTTGCAGGTGTGGAGATAGCCGAGAGACCCACAGGCAGTGACCTTGCCTGGGTGGTAGTGGCACTTGGTGGTCCGGGCCTGCGCTCAAGTCGACTGAGCCCAAATGAAGCTGGACAATTTTGATGCACCCTTTCTTGCAAGTACCAATGCACACCAGGTTGGCAATGCGTAAGCACCCCGCGAGACGTGAATCATGACAGGACCTCCAGCTCATGGTGTGAGACGCTCCAACTGTGGGGCTTCTCAAAAGTTGCACAGAGTCCACATCCCGGGCGGCCGAGCACATCGGCAGCTTGTTGCCATCGACATATGCGTTGATTTCGTAGCTGCCCGGCGTGGCGCAAACAAACTGGACGTGGTAGGTGCCATCCTATGCTTCAGCCATGGAAGGCTTCTGCAAATTCAACGGCCCACCTGCCGATCTTCCACAAATGGGCGTGGCTCGGGCTGTGTCTTCGACATCAGGCTGATTCCAGTCCTTGCCAGGCTTGCCAGGCTTCTAAGCCGCAGGCCTTCCAAGCCTGTCTTGAGCTCTGAGAGCCGGACACCATGCACGTGACTGTCGCGCCACCCTCCTTCATCACCTGAGCGGGCCAAATACGCGAGTACTCTGGGAACCATTCCCCCCTCCTTTGGTAACCTCAACTACAGATGGAAAATACTCCCCCTTGCTCACCCAGGGTTCGCCGATCCTAAAAGCACTCCTGCCTGGCCGTCCTCAGAGACCGTGGTCACCTGAGCCCCCCCCACTTTCCCCCACGACAGTTGTGACATCATTCAAGTGGCAAACTGAGCACAAGCATGTGGCGAGAAAACGGGGTGCTTTCATCTGCGGCAGGCAGTATGGCAGTTGTGCTGGCTTAGGTCCATCCATGGAGCAGCATTGTGAAAGTAACGTTTGAATCTGTGCTTTGGAAATGCTGTAGAAACTGGAGTTGTGGATACATTCTCTCAGGTTCACCTCCCCCAGACAATTTTCACTTGTTTTCCTTCGTTAGGCAACCTCATCCCAGTCTCCAACGCTACGCAGGCATGCTTGAGCACGTTGTCCCAAACGGCTTCCCAAGTTTTGTGTGTCAGCTGGTTTGGGCTTCCGGCGGTGAAGTAGAGGCGCTCGCCGCATTTACCGCCCACCAGGGCAGGCCCATGAGCGAGGCAGTGAGCAGCCTGGCCACGCTGAGCTTGCTTCGCATCTCTAAAATGGCCGGCGGCCTTGGCTTTCGCCAGCTGGGTGGGAGCAGGCCTCTGGCAAAGGTATGCCTACAACTTGCTTTGTGTTCACCAATGAGGGAATGACTTTTATCCCCTATGCACCAGCCCGTGTGGTTTCCTTTCAGAGAATCCTTGGGTTCATTCCCAGAAGCCCTCTTGATTCCCTGAGCACAAGAAGGGCAAAATGCAACAGAAGGCATCGGGTAGCTGGCTGCTCCAACGCTTTCTTCTGCGCAGAGATCACTTCATCCGCCCTGAAAAGCTCAAGCAAGGTCTCCGCTAGGAACGATCAAACGCCTCACTTTAGCCCAGGCCAGCCCGCCTTGTACCTTCGACTCCCACACGTGGTGGTCTTTGCCTGAATCATGCAGAAGTGCCACGCTCAAGACTTGACACTTGCTTAGAGCAGTTTGTCCTATTCCTTCCGAGGTGCCGGAAGAGGCCGGAAGCTTTGGATCCCCTGCGAAGCTCACTGCGGGGTCCGGAATTCGCCGTGTGGGCCCAGCCTGGTTGCCAGCGGTCCAAGCAGTGAGTCGACGTCCAAGGAGTTGAGGTCGATCCCAAGCAGCAAAGCGCCTGTCCGAAAGCCGAGCAAGCCTGCGGCCACATCTCGTCTCTCTTGCCTTGCCTTCATCATCCATCTCTGAATCTTAAGCAAACCTCATCCACCGACTCCATGGCTCTGAGCTTGGCAGAAAGCCATGGAATCACAGTCAGGAATGCATATGTCAAACGTGGTCGGGCTGTCTCAGGCCGTCCGCGAATCTCTGGGCTTTCCTCTCTTATTTGATTTCAGGCAGCGGTAAAACGTCCAACTGCCAAACGTACAGCTTGAACCTGTGGCCTAAGATCTCACTCCCATGTGGAAGCAGTTCAATTCAATATGTCAGCTGAAGACCAGCGAGCAGGCGTAAACTGGCAAGTAAGGCATGGAGCACTTTCAAGTACTCTGCCCGAGCACAAACTGTCAAACGGCAAACACCTCGAGCTCGTTCAGTGCTCTTTGCAGCTTTTGCGCTGGGCTGCACCGTCTACATGCGAGCGTCCCTTGTGGGCTGTTAACCCTCGACGCGACTCTTTCCCGCATTTTTGCAGGACACAAATGGCATGATTCTACCACTGGCTTTCCGGCTCTGGCATATCGCCCAAAGCTGCCACGCGGAGCAAGGCATGTTGCCTGCTTCATCCTTGGCAAGGCTCATTAGATCAGCTTTTCACGCCTCAGCACCACGAAACTTGCAGGAACTCATTCTCTGAGCCGAAGTCGCACCGGGCGCCCGGCTTAAAGAACTCCCGCAAATGGCTGAATTGCCACATGACGAGCCCTCCTTCCATTGCCTGGCATGGCAAGATGTTTCTGGAGGGCACCAACACACAAAGGCGCGCCATGATGAACAATGCCACCCACACCTTAGCGCCAAATGGACCTAGCCTCAACCAAAGCTGGTTCAAATAAGTTTGAGCAAGCCACCACATGTCGATTGACAAGCTCCGATGCGTCTCGGAACTCCATCTCTGTGGTTCTTTCGTACCTGCGTATGTGGCCAAACAACTCCAGCGTCTCAAGGTATTATAAGAGGAATTGCCAATGAGCGTTCCACTGAACTGGCAATCTGCTCGCACTCGAAATTGCATCTCGCAGCTTTTATTCCAGAGCAACTCTGTCATGCCTTGGCTTGCAGTCTATGAAGTGCTCACTCGAGAGAAGCACTCGCTGGACAGTTCTGGTTCGTCATGTTGTTGCAAGGCACAAGCTGTGCTCACTTACGCAACATGCCAAATTTGTGGGTGCGGTTGCAAGCATTCTGATTGCCAGCTCCGCTCCAAGCAAGCTAAAGTTCGAAAACAGCCCGTCTGTAGGCGGTGCCGTGTTCCCCCGCAGTTTTGGTCGCGGATTGATTTCTTGGATTCCCCAAAGTGTTGGACAAGGCGGTGGCAGACTGGCTACTGCAGGGAACACGCCCGTTGAAACACAGAGTGCTTTAAGCACTGGTGGCAGCACCCGTCTTTCAGTCCTGCTTGTTTTGCACGAGCTTGTGTACGTGGCAAAGAAAGTCAACCTCCAGAATGCAGGGTGCACATTCACATGCAAGTGCGCTGCTGTTCAAGCCCCGGGCATAAGCAGACTCGGCACCTGCCCGATCTTCAGCAAGTGATGCCAGGACTCTGGACCTCGCCAAAAGCTTCCGAAACCGGACGGCTGGCGATATCGGCGTGGGTGTGTGCATTCACATGAATTGCACATGTATGTGGACTAAAATGTATATTGATGTATGTATGTATTCTTATTTCTTAAAAAAAAAAAGCCCCCAGGAGAAGTTGACGGTATTTACAGTTCAGGCACCCCATTTTTGACCATCTAACTATGCCTGCGTCTGCACATTTGACGGCACCTCTATCCTCCTAAAACGCTTTAAAGCGCTTTAAAGCACTTTTGGATTCAAGATACAAGATCAAGATTTGCAGGACTCTAGATCTGCAATCTTGAATTCAGCCTGGGGCCCCTAAACCGCTTTTAAGCGTTTTCACTCTCGTGGATTCAAGATTGGGGCCACTATCCCAGGACTTTTGTTCTTGAATCTTGAATCCATGAGCTACCGGGATCAAGATTCAAGTTCTAGAGTCCTGGGAATCTTGAATCTTCGATCTTAGATCCAAAAGTGCTTTATCGCGCTTTAAAGCGTTCTGGGGGCCCCATACTGGGCTCAAGATTCAAGTGCCGTAGTCCTGGGAATCTTGCATGTTAGATCCGAAAACGCTTTAAAGCGCCTAAAAGCGTCTGCTTTCAGTCATTGCTGTTTGGTCGTGCATCTTATGCTAATTTTTGGAACTGTGTGCGGCAATTGCAGTTGATAGTTCAGCGTATGGACATTGGATGATTAAGTTCTTAGAACATGATCTAAAGAAATCCACTCCAACCGTTGGATATTGAAAAAAACACTGTAAATACCAGTGTGTTGCATGCATCTTAGTAGGTTCTGTGCGGCACAGACTTCGTTCAGGGAAATTAGTTGTTTTAGCAGACAGCGTGGCATTGGTCAAGGCATATAAGACGTGAGCTGATGTTGTTTTTTGGTATTGGCCAAGTTTTGTGAGCTGACAAACGAACGGGATTTGCAGATGAGTTGAGATGAGAGATGGAAGATGCGTAATATGCGTAACAGGTATTGGCACAGATTTGTAAGTTGACAGACGAAAAGGATTTGCACAGCAATTGAGATGAGAAATCGCAGATGCGTAGGCAAAGCAGAAGAGGCATTGTTTTGCTTTATTGTTGATACCCTGCGCCGGTACTCTCACAGAGATGTTTTACAGTCAGTTGAACAAGGATAACATTAGTGATGAAGACGATGAAAAAGCAACATTTATATGGTCACAAGGGAGAACATCACGATTTCTGTGAAAGCAAATGTTTGATTATTGACTGACATGTTCAAAAACTTCAGAGATGATGAATGCATGAAATATTATAGCTTAGACCCTGTGTAGTGTGACACTTTAACTAACTTCGATTTTACACTGTACCTAACTTTGCTTCTGATGCTATGTGCAAATTAAATTGAAACTTAGTGTATGACCAGAAGATGTATGAGATGATTGGACTAGAATCTAAAGGAGGAAAGCCACAAACATGTTTCAGAAGTAGAAGCCTACTATTCAAACGCTACTATTCAAACGGGTGGCAAAGGCTTAATGAATCATCTGCGCAAGTCGGCCAACATTGTAGAGTGAGACCACTTCTGGAATTCAGAGTCCCAGCGCGGCACAATTATGTGCTCCTACAATAGTTCTGGGCGTATAACAGTACGTGTATCTTGTGTTGGTGGTGCTTCCAATGATCCAAACACTGCAGCTGAGCAGCCTGACGGCACACTTTTTGTTTTGTCCGTTGTGTTCAAACTCCCATGAAGCTCGCAGTCTTTCTTTACTTGGTCCAGGTCCAGGGGTGGCAGACAAGTCGTGAGTTGTTATTCTCAAGAGACGTACCAGTAACCGCCTGCTCTCGTATGCTGCCCTCGGGATGCCAAAGGCTTTGGTATGCTGAGGGGCCGGAGGAATTCACTATTGTTTCTTTGCAGCGCGAGCAATGGGCTGAGCTGGACAAATAATATGGCTTTCCGGCTTGCGTTCCCAACGCCTTTCCTTGATATTGTCATCGTTGTTTTGCTTAAGTGCTACTATCACAATCACAATTCAGTAATTGGATCAGTGCAATTGTCATTTTCGTTATCATGATTATTGGTATAATTTGATGTACCATTACACATGCTATCATCATCGTACTGCCACCACTATGACTATGTTTTTCTCACTACTATCAAGTGATATCCTTGGGTTGGTTTGAGCTTCGGGGTTCAAGGGTAGAGTCTCGTTTCTGGTGGCTCAAGGGTAAGGTAGGGTCCACGTAGGTTAGTGTAGGCTTGAGGGTGGATTGGGAATGATTCAGGGTGAGGATGGTTGGTCCATGGTGGGTGTTGGGTTGCTTGGGACTGGTTTAGGGTAGGATATCCAGGACCAAGGACTGCAACAAAGCAACCCGTGACGTGCATACCTACGCTGAGGCTACGCGGTTTCCTTTTGCCTAGGAGTCTGGCTACGCAGGGGCTACACCCGAAGCATGTTCTTTTGATAAGTGGCTACGTGAAAGGCTACGCAAAAGTGCGTTGGCCAGCCGAAGTAGTGGTTGTTGTTGCAGAAGTACCATGGTGAAAGCAGAAGGAGAAGTAGAAGTACAAGTAGTACCTGCATGCACATGTACAAATACATGTTCGTACCGAAATAGGCCTGAGGCGATTAGAAAACTGGAGCGGAGGGACCGAGGTATGCTTTCAAACTGTACTAGACGCCCTCCTTTCCCCCCGCTTGTTTGGGCGTTGGTGAGTTTGGAGTGAATCTTTTGTGCATGTTGCTTCTCGCAGTGCAAGGATGCTATTCATCCGTCAAGAAAGGGGAAGGTGTGCATAGGCATTTTGCTCGGCGGGATTCTCGTAGCTGAGGCACAATTCCACAGCTCAGTGGTAGATGTGCTCTGAACCGACGGGTTGAAGGATCAATGCCACCCTGTACCAGTATGAATATGGGTTAGGTTGCGGCTTTGGAAGCAGGCCAATCTCGATTCAGTTGGTCTGCTGATGTGTCTGGGGATTGTGCTGGGTGCATGGCGCGAACAAAGTCACATTCGCCTTGCTCAAAATGGTTTTTTTCTAGTTCAACTTGTGTGTGTGTGTGTGTGTTTGTGTTTGTGTTCTTGTTCGTGTTCGTGTTTGTTTGTTTGGGGGCTGTGCAGGTGCTTGGTCTGGCGGCGATGTCTCCAGGCTTCATAGGCTTTGTGTCGAGCTTGGGGGTGTCGTCTCCAGGCTTTCTAAGTTGCTTTCGCTGCAGCACAAAGAACATGTCGTTTTTCTCAAAACAGGCCAGTTCCAATTGGACCGGGCTGCTTTCAATTGTCTTCCCTCGGCCAAAGCGGCCGAGGCGGGCTTGCGGTATGCAAATGATGTGCCCCTTGACTCGATGAAGCAACATTGATCTCAGGTCGCTGCTCCTCAGGAGTGCCTGGAAGGACCACGTAGAAGGACTGCCAGGGAAGCCTACACGCGGCAGAGTGGAGCCCGGTATTTGCCTAAGGCACAAAGGGCCTCCATCTCTCCCTGCGAATCTGCTGCACACAGGCAAGCATCCGTTCAGCTTCTTCGCTGAGAGAGTCCATGTGATCCTCCACATTTCGTGGCTCGGCAAGCACAGCTACTTGGCACAGATAACATGACATTGACTCATACTCGGTCCTCTGGTGCAGAAAGAATCACGGCTACATCATGCAGGTTCTCGGCGCCAAACCTCGCATCAGGAAGCACGCTGCTTTCTGAGATTGCGGGCCTTTGTTTTCACTTGGCTTTTGCATCTTACTCGAGACCCAAATTGAGCAGAGTGGCACTTGGTAGAGCACCTCTTGATCCACACCTGGTCTCACCTTAGGCTGGGAGCTACACCATTAATGGTGCTGCTCTTAGATCCCAGGTGTGCGGCGTAGAGTCGTAGACTCATGCCGTTGTCGATCCTACGAGAAGTGAGCACAAGACATTGCTTGAGTTCCGACTGCAAGGCTTCGCACGTCTCTCTATCTATCTCTCTCTCTTTCTCTGTCTCTGTCTCTCTCTCTCTCTCTCTCTCCTCTCTCTCTCTCTCTCTCTCTCTCTCTCTCTCTCTCTCTCTCTCCTCTCTCTCTCTCTCTCTCTCTCTTCCCACCGAATCAAGCTACACAGACATTGACTTCGCAGCTCACTTCAGTTTGTGCACTGCTTCTGCAGCCAAGCTTCAGGTACATGCGGTCGTTCGCAAGCTTGTCGCCTGAGTCAGCCATGCACCCAGTTTGTTTGCAACTGCAGCAAAACTTGTTTAATTCTGAGGGTGCTGCTACAGCTGGCAATGGTGGGGGGCAAGTAGACCTCAGTGTTCACTCGCCATCGGTGCTCAGTGAAGGTGCCAGTGGGGCCGCGGCATTGTCTGCGACCCCTGTGAGGCAGCCAGCCCTCTCTGGCAAAGGATGCATAGTGTAGACCTGCGCACAGGCACGACTCAAGCGTCCTTTTGCCCGCAAGGTCCGCACTCGTGGATACACAAGCGGTGCCGTCAAGGCCATCGGCAGGCCCAGAGTCTCAGTTGTCCAGTACTGTACAAGCTGTCCGACAAACGACTGGCTGAGCTTGGGACCCGTATCAAGAACACTATCCTTGGTTCACATACATCAGAATTAGCTCCATCTGGCGGCAGCTCTGAGAGAAGTGCCGATCATCGACCTTGATGTCAGAACCTGGTCAGCTCGCAAAAGCAGCCTCTGTCAAAACATAGACCTCCTGCGTTGTTAAAACGGATTGCCCGCCTACTCGGAAGGCTGGAAACTTTCGGATTGAGCCAATGTACAAAGGCCTCAGTCACACACTCCAGAGATGGTATGAAAGTGAAGTGTCCTGTGAAGGCCAAAAACAGAAATATTGCGCACAAGTGGGTAAAGGGTGTCGCTCGAAATCTGAGTATCCGTCAGTAGCTTCAATGACTCCGGCAAGATTAGCTGGCCAGCCTCAATCGCAGCGCCATGGTATTGTAGCTCTGAATGGCATGATGCGGCATATTGAGCGCGAGGCTGATGTCATTGAGGCACAGTTTGCCCGGTAGGCATGTAGCATGTCCTCCAGTGAGAAGTGTCCAAATGGTTGTGGAGCTTGCTGCCATCTTGAGGCTGGACCGTCTGAGATGCTTCGATTACACAGCAACATCAGCTCAACAGTCTAAGGCGGGAGCCACACAGGCTTTCATTAGCTTATCCTTGAAGCTGCCGTTCCTCGGCAAATCCCGCAAGAGCTACCAAGACTCCCTAACGCACCCAGGAAAACAAGGCACGGCATGAGCATGTTGCCGGTTCCAAAACATTCAGCAAGGATTCCCACTGAGCGCAGCATCTGCGGCCTGTGCAATTGCAGCAAGTGCTAGATAGAAATGCAACAATGCGCAATTCATGGCGCCTGTTTAAGCAGCAGATTTGTCACGGCGTCAATCTCCGTGTAGCGGAAGACATTGCTCAATGAGGAAGTTACAGGCAGCTGCAATGTGTGCACCCCTTAGCATACGTGCAAAATAGAATGTGGGAATCACAGCTTCACAGTACGTTACACACACTTCATGATATGCTTCTGGTTTGTTCAATCACACAACTGCTCATGCACTAGGATCCCAACGTATCAGCCTCTTGCCAGCCTTGCTGGTGTAGAGGCAAGCAACCTTCGACAATATGTCAACTGCTTTGGCACGCTTTGCAAAGGACTCTTGTGCGTCAGCTTGCTCTGGCCCTCTCGTCAATCTAGCCAACATGCTTGCGCCTGAAGGTACGCGTGCTTCTGACCTTCAATCCTCTGCTGCAAAGCAATCAAATATGCTGACGATTGGGTGCATTGTGAAGCAGAGAGCCACTATAAAACGGAAAGGGAAACGAATGCCCTCTCTCTCTCTCTCTCTCTCCACTCGTCAATGTGCTTGCTGTGCATGTCTAAATTCTAACCTGGAAGTCGGTCCTCTCTCCATGCACAAAAGTGATGTCTACCGTGGCATCCACTGACCTCGGGCCATGCAACGCAGTGCCAGCTGATAGATTCCCACTGGCTCGAACATGAGAGCGAAACTATGCTCCACACATGCGAGAGACAGAGAAAGTGCTCGGATCAATGACCTGCGGCACCCGCATCTGACAGCTTGCCTCCCATGAAAGTCTTGCACCTCGGGATCCCAGGTGGCGTGCATGCTGTCGATGGCAAGCCCCTTGCTCACCCGCAGCTTGAACATGACGCTGTACCTCAAAATACCGCGCCAAGCTCGACCATACCGCATACGTGTTTGAAATGCGTCTCTTTGCTGAGCCCTTCGCACTGAAGACTGCACCACAGTCCTCCAGCAAAGCAATGCGGCTATCCAAACTCCGACAGTGCCTATGTGAAATCAGCTCCTGGACAAATCATAGTGCAGTCTTTCGCCATCTCGGCTTGGATCCTCAGAGAAGTCGCCAGAGTTGTGCCCATATTCGCATCGACAAGTGGCTTTTGGCAATCCAAGGCAACCACGAATCCAGGGTAGAAACATATTTCGCCGCCAGTTCTCCTGATTGCCAGTCAAGCTTGATAAGTGATAAGCATGACGTAATATTCAAGTGCGGGCACACACGCAGCATGCAACAATTGGCAGCTTTGTTGACTGCTCTGTGGATGCGCTGTGAATGCTCTAATGTTCTGCCAATGCTCTGAAGAGAGCCTGTGGATCAAACAATCGCTAGCCATCTGTCCTGGGAATTCTGCTGAGCGTGGTCATATCCTGGCAAGGAAAGAGCCCTTCTTTCAAGACTCGGACAAAGAAGTTCTGAAAAGCACTGAAGTTCTGCTGGCAAGGCAGTGTAGATACCCGTCGCAGGAGCGCAAAAAACGCTTACAGCCACCTTGGTCTTGCATTCGAGGTGCACAAGTCGCAGCTTCTTTGAGCCCACGGCTCCACGAGCCAGGCAATCTGTGCCGATTTCCTCAATGAAGGTTGGCTGCTGGACCTCGCGCTCCGTGACATGATGACTGGCCCCATTTGGTGGGTCAAAAGTAGGGTCACCCCAAAATGGTACCCCGGTACGGGAAAACATGGACCAAAACCTGCGGCCTTTTGGTGGCCTAATTTGGAGCCATACCCATTGGAGCTGAATTCGGGAAAATGGGCCAAAGGTGGCCCAACAATATGCTCACCAAGGTCATGCGAGCACCGAGCACACGCCGTTTGCCAAAGTGTAGGCTGCGCGCATTGAAGAGACCCCCACCTGCCAGCGCTCTGAGTAGCCCCAAGTAGCCCAGGCAGATCTAAGATCTAAGATCCGGGCCCTCGGGCTCAGAGGCCAGCCTTAGTGCTTGACAGATTCGTAGGCCCGGATTCTTTTGTGATTGCGCAAGACCTGATCTTCCCTTCCCTTCCCGCCAACCATGCCTGGTCTTTAGATGGCGTGTCTAGCTTTATGTAGCTTTGGCAGCATCTAGGCCCGCTGCTTGATGTCGTCCCGGTGTCGCAGAGCTCCAATTCCTGTGCAAGCAGCCCGCTTTGCCGCACGCCACGACTGCGTCTCTCAGCCCGTAGCCCGAGTTTGGAAGGCTAGCATGAAACCTTACCAGCTTTCAAGTACTGGCACAGGTGGGGAAGGCTCGGTGCACTTAGGACCTTTAGGAGCCCGGGCATAATCACATGGCCACCACCTGAGGCAGGCGATTGTCGTCAATAGGGTCGATCCATTGAGGTCTGCACCTCGCCCTCCAACGAGCTCCGTGGCTGCCTTCAAGGCAGCACAGCCAGCCGCCTGGTCGGCCTGAGCAGGCCCAGGGCCGGATGGGGCAAAGATGGCGAGGGTCTGTCACTTCTGCTGCCCAGTTGCCAGACCATCCGTGCACAGCAATCCAGGCAGCTCGTCCAGAAGCGTGTCTATCCTGAGCTACGAAATTGCAAAATGGACATCACTACTTGAGCAGCACCCTTCTTGCAGTTCAGGACAAGCTGCTGACTTCGGTATAGAGGATCCTGACACTGCAAAAGCAACAGAGGGGGAACATCAACCTGATAACCGCAGTTTGCCATCTGCAGGGCACCTCTGCATCTACCAGCAAAGCATCTGCACCACAGGGAGCAAAAGGATCCTGCAGCCAAGGCAGAAGCTCGACAGGGTCGGCGCTTGTTCGAAATCACAGCTGCCTCTGTGTCGGAGACAGTTATCTGTCGCGCGCAATCCTAGAAAATGCAATGTGTAATGTCCACAATCACATGCATCAAATGTCAAGATAGTATACTCGCCACTGGCGAACATATGCCTCAGGATGGTACCAATCCAGGATAGAACGCAAAAAAGTGCAAGGCGTGGTCGAACAGCAGGATACCAATCCTCAAACAGGCAGCATCTCGCCCCACTCAATATAAGCCATGATCAATCTGCGGTATTCTTCAAAGCGACTTAGCGACTTGCCGCCAATGATTTTATCAGGATGTTTCCTTTATTTGCTTTGAAATTCGTTTCTGTTGTTTGTTTGATTCATTTTTTGTTTTTTGTGCTTCTCTGGATGATTATCGCTTCTTTTTCTTGCTTCCTTGCTTGCTCGCTTGCTGCCTGGCTGGCTGGCTGGCTGGCTGGCTGGCTGGCTTGCCTGCCTGCCGGCCTGGCTTGCCTGCTTCCGTGCTTGCGTGCTTGCGTGCTTGCTTGCTTGCTTGCTTGCTTGCTTGTTTATTTGTTTGTCTGTCTGTCTGTCTGTTTGTTTGTTTGCTTGTTTGTTTGCGTACCCGCTTGTACATGCAGGCACGACCCTCTTTTGCTGCAGTCAGCAACACTGCACCAGCCGCGGCATTTTGGCCGTGGCTCGCACCAGCATTTCTTTATTGCGGTGGCGGCTTCTTGTGCAAGACATGGACGCGCAAGTGGTCAACAAGCGACAAATAGTTGCTCTCTTTGCAGTGCTGCTGGCTCTGCCGACATTAATCTGAGGTGTTGACCGAGACGAGGGCTGTTCCATGAAGCCCAACAGGGATCGCAGTGTCCACATGACCTCGTTTCAAGACATCTTTCAGGACCCCATGGAAACAAGATCCACAACCTGGTAGATCCTTGCCTTGCCAAATGCATCTGACATGAGATCCAGACTTGTGGCAGAAGGCCGCACTGCAATGATCTTTGCGTCCTGAGCGAACACTCAACGCTTCAGGAAGCGTTACGCCATGTCCATGGCTGGGAAAATTGGGCAGCGCGCGCTTCTACGACAAAAATGGTGGCAGGCACGACCGGCAGGGTCTCCGAGTAGTCACTGGGAGCCTGGGCAATACAAACTGACTGGAGACAGCAAGGTTGTTTGTGTCGGCGTCCACAAATGGCACAAACACGCCCCGTAAGCAAATCGCAATGTAGTCCACGGTGCCACGGTTCAGCTCAGGCCTCTCTGCCTCGCATTCTGTGCATTGCAAGCCAAAGGTATCGGCTGCAAGGCCTTGTCTTTCCGCTGACCCTTCTCATCAAGGTTGCACATATACTCCGTCGGCACCTGGCTTCAAGTTTGCTTGGACCGGTGAAACAGATCCAAGGTCCAGCGCCTCCACACGCTGGCTGCAAAAGTTGCAGGTGGCCTGGGCTGAAAGGCTGGTCGCCCTTTCCGAGCGCCTGCAAGCGCCTCCCTGCCATGGTTGTGCCAGGTGAAGAAGGCGTTCACGTAGGCTTTGCACCGGTTGCACCGAAAAGGGCCTGCAAAAGAAACCCTGAAACCTTCGCCTGACCGGGCCACGAAAGTCCAGCCTGATTCACCAAGATCGACACAGGGGATGGGCGCCTGGCAGCGCAAAAGCAAGGCTTGAACGACACCGCTTACGCAGCCCAACCTCGAGCGTAGTTAGCTCGGCAAAGGGCTGGCAAATCGCCTCATAGCTGAAGCAAGCAGGAAGGTACCACATGGTATGGGATCCCCACTGCCATGGGCACGTGGGCTGTGTTGGCAGTCGAAGGATACGCTGGCACCTCTCAAACACAGAGCTCTGCCAGGCTTTGCCATGCCATGTTCGAAATACACAGGCACAAAAACACACACTTCCAACACAATGGCGTGCCTGGTTGACTGTGGATCGAATGAACTCACACGAGGCCGAGCCCCGATCAATGACGGTACAAACCTTGGGCACCAGCTTATGGCCAACTGCTAAAAGTGTGAGCAGCTCTGAGAGGAAGGCTGTTGTTGCTGCTGGCGGAACATGATACTTGCTGGTCTCATAGACCTGCCCAGAGCCACAAGAAGACAAATCAGTGGAAGAAGGAATCTCTATCCACACCGCACCTTGCCACCCTCATCCTTGATGGCTTCCGGCTGTCCAACAGGTCGCGGCACCTGGCGTGTGAGTTGCAAGCTTACTTAGAGCTGCTGCTGAAACTTGCCCGGAGCCTGCTCGGGATCGATTCTTGAATTCTGCTTCTTTGACTCAGTCCTTGCGCGGCCAATCTTCATTGGTACTATGTCGCCTTGGCAGTGGCTCAAGGTCCTTCTTCTACTCGAGGTCGGCGACGAGGCAGGTGCACCAAACTTTCTTGGTGTTCCTCAGAACGAAAGCAAGCAAATGCTTCAGGATGTGTCGAAGCCCGCCTCCTGAAAGTGGGCGATTTACGTTGGTCTTTGTTGGTGATGCATCCAACGTATAGGCAGAGTTCGACCTGAGTTGCAATGCGTTTAAAGCCAGCATAGGTTGCCCACCCCTGCCTCTTCGTCGCCCCTCCAGGCCTTTCGCAAACATCATGCGCACAACCCACAAAGTCCACGGCACTAGGATTGCGGAGTCAACCTGGTAAGCTGCTGACGTGAAGTTCCCTGGAGTGTAGCCTGTAGGTGTGAAAGCTATAGGAGTATAGGCACCCGGTGTTTTTGTCCCAGGTGTGTCGCCACCTCAGTACCCACTCCCCATGTCATTCTGTATATCATGCCCATTGGTTGCTTGGCTTTCGGCACCGACACACTGGTCGAGCACGAGGCAAAACACACTGGGTGGCCCACCATACATGGTGAAGGATGCGCCGCCTGCAAATAGGTGCGGGATTTGAACAATCAGGCCATCACTCTGTTGGCTTACGCATTCTAGGGCGATCTGCGCCTGGTGGTGGTGACATGCCACCAGAAAAAGGAGACCCGTGCATCCTCAGAGCATTGGTCTGTCTCTTCCCCCGATGGCAGAGCTGGGCTTCAGGCACTCCGGGCGGCGAAAACCCAAGAGGGGGTGGCGCTGGTACTGATGCCTGCATATCTCGTGGCTCTGGTGAATGGAGTTAACTACTGCAAGCGGTTCCTGGATGGCCCCTGGCTTGTAGGTTGGGTATGAGCTGACTGGGCCTTGTGAAAGACGAGCTGAACCGTTGATATCGTAAACTGAGGGACGGACGGCTTGAGCAGGCAAAGCGACTGGGGGCAGAACTTCCAGAAAGTCTGCTTGTTGGGGAAGAATCCGGTGGTGTTGATGAGCCCTGCGCGTTAAAGCTATCACTGGCTGGAATTGCCCTTTCGATCCAGGACTTTGCCAGCTTGGCTCTGCGCCTCTCTAAAAAATTTGATCTTGGACATCCCATTCTCGTTGATGACGTCCGGCCTTCGATTGACGCTTGAGACATGCTAGGCCATCTGTGACACAGGAGGCGAGGCACCAATGGATTTCCCTGGCCTTGAATTGCTCACCGAGGAGGTCCTTGACACCTCAGCTCGTGGGATTTGGTGTCTTGGCGCTTCAGGTCTCAGTCCGGCACATCGAGGCCGTCATGGGACGGCTCGGTCTTTGCAGGGCCTAGCAGTTTGCGGTCGCGTCAGCCGCAGGTTGCGTATCCCAAGGGCTCGGGCTGGCTGCTGGCGAGGCATTGGCGATAAGCACCTCTGAAACTGATTCAACTTCCATAGGACCATGCGAGATGTGCACACCGCTCAATGAAAACAGGTATCTAAGCGAGCCACCGGATCAAAGCAAGCTGGCTGCATCCGCAAAGTGCATCGTTGCAGCCCACAAGGGCTGATCTACTGCGTGATGTGGCAAGCTTTGTTTGAGCTACCTATGCTTCGAGAGATTGATCCAGCTTTCAATTTGCAAGCTTCTGGTATGCCAGATCTCTGGTTTGCTTATTCTGATGTTGTACATGTTGTATATGTAATTACAAATTGAAATGTGCGGCAGGTGCTGGCAGAGTTCATGCAGATTCGGCCAGTTTCATTCTAGTCACTTGAAGCTGCCAAGCAAAAGGAAATCAATTCGGCAGCAGGTGCAATTGTCAAAGTGCCAATGCCATGTCCAAACACTAAACTGCCCCTGCAACCGGGGCACTCGTTCTCTGCAGACACGGCCTCTGCTCGGGCCAAGGTACTCATAACAGACCTGCCGGGTGCAAAATACGCGGGGCCAACGAGACGGCACGCCGGCATTCGAACTCATGAGAATGCTGCACCTCTCAATGCCCTTCAAGTTACCACGAGTGGCTGGGTTCCTGGAAATGCACGATATGATGAATGCGCTACGCAAGCTTCGACTCGCGCATGTCAAACCCGGGACCTTTTCTGGGAAAGGGAGATTTACACGAAAAATATATAATCCGAAGAAGGTCCCCAGATTTGACACACGGCTACCTGTAAGGAAACGACTTGGTAAAGTCTGTGTCGCCCATGTCAACGCTGAGTTCCCACTTTAGAGCGGTGGTCTGAAACCATCCTGCCAGGAAGGAAACCAAAACCATCCCCGGCAAACAGCCGCAAACATGCACTGGGTCACGGCCAGGGCATTGGACGCATATGCCTCGGTCACCCCAAAGGCCCAAAGCTCACCTCGCGTTTCATTCGGCGACGAGCACCAGGCGATGCTCCCCACGCTGCTGAGTCATGAAGGATGTTCTTCCTTTTTCCGAGTCCTCGCACCAGAGGCAAGGCTCAGTTGCCTTAGTGCTGGTCCAGGCAAGCACCAGCTTGCAGGGCCGTCCTCATGGCCAACTCTCTTTGAAAAGACCTGTGGACATGTTGCAAGAACCTCAAAGTTGAAGCCAGACTCCCAGGCCCCGCGGCTCAAAACAAATGCACCTTTTGTCTAAGCGCGTTCGGAAACTCCGCCGCAAAGCTATGTAGGAAAAGGGCATCCTTGCTCTGCGATAAGCTTTCGGTTGATGCCTTTGATTGGTCTCGCCCTTACCCTAAGACCAAGTCTAGGCTCAGGAGGTGAGAACATGCAGCCAGAAACGCTTTGCGTTGGAGACGCCTTCCCAATGGAATCAGCGCCGCTAGGACTTCACGCTCACCGCGTCACATGTTCGTGCCAGAATATGGCATTGGCTACAGCAAATAAAGTGCCGCCAGTCAGCAGTGAACTCAAGATGTGGAAAAACAAACACACAAATGCATACCAGCAATGTCTCTGAAATGAGTTCTCTGAGGGCTGAGAGGCGCAAGCAACTCATCACACCTTTGGTGGTCTGGGCTTGGGTGCGCTAACAGTCGGCCAAATCCAGGCCCTTAGCCTGGTGCAAATGTCCAACCCTTTGCAAAGGCACAGGGTCAAGCCATGCCTGTGGCGTCTACGTCGGTTGCTCCTGGCAAAGTCTCAAGCTGCTCTTCGGCTCAGAGCCCTGCCGTTGAAAAGGCGTGTGAACCAGCCTGTGGCAAGCTGATCCCGTCCAGGGAAACCTGCACAGGCGTCGCAAACAAGTCCGGTTGCAGTTGCAATGACAATGCCTGGCCTGCTTTATGAACTCCGCTGTCTGCTGGCCGCTGGGCTGATGGGGGAGGATTTTCCTGTCATGCAAGTCACCTTCAATCGAACATCGCAGCCAAAATGCGAAGTAATTGGCCGCCTCCGGCACAGAGAACTGATCAGTTTTGATTGCTATTCCTGAGATTACATCATAGCACCGAGAGGTTGCTATAGCAAAACCGAAAATATCGTTTCGGTTGTCTGCCACCAGAGATACAGAAAAGCAATGCCTGAAAAGCTCAGCCAGGCAGCTCTCGTCTCCAGGTTTGCTGTCAGCATCTTCACCAGGCTTTTCACAGTCTGCCCCCTCCTCACTGTGACCAAGCATCACAACGTGGCACATGTCAAGATCAAGCCATTGAATTAGACGCGGGTTCCTTCCCAGCAAGCGAAGAAGAAACAACCCAGCATGAACAGGGATCCCGTAGAGTTTTGGCACCCGCGGGAAGGGCTGGTCGTGATTGACTCGAAAGCGGGTGTGGCAGTATTCCGACGTTTCAGCTGCAGTGTCTCTTGATTGATTTGAATGTTGGCACCTGTTTCAACTGCCTGGGCCATCCGTTCCTGAGACAATCCTTACTGCAGATTTCCATGTGGCATTCTAGCAAATGGTTTGTGCAATCCCCGAATTGGAGCGGAAGATATGTGGAAAGTCTAGGTGGGAACTCCACGTCAAAATTTCAAGTCTTATGCAATTCTCCGATCATTCTGCTAGAGTTTTTGCATGGCGGGTAGGGTAGTGGTTGTGGTGCGGCATGTCTGATTCACAATGCAGTGGATGCGAGTCACAATTCACATTATGCGCTGATGTTGCTGGAAGAGCGCCAAAGGCCAAGGTTGGGCCTGTATCACCGGCATCCCCACTGTCCTACTCAAGCACTAGATTAAATGGAATGGCCAGCTATGTGGCACACAGCCTGAACATGATGCTACTGTATTTCGATGTTGGCCCCAAATGCAAGCTGGCAGTTTCATTCCATAAACTGTCCTGTCTCTCCTCATGATTGTCTAAGCCTGCTGCAAACAGAAAATGGACGGATTGCCCAATTCGGGCTGCACAGCAAAGGCCGTCCTCCGGAATGGCAGGCTTTGCACAGCTCTCTTCCGGCGTCGATGGCCTAGGAACTTCCTGAGCTCGAGGCTATGGGATTGAGTTGCAACGTGATGCCATGCTCTCCATTCAGCCACGGCTCCATCGACGGCACCGCCGTGAAGACAGAAGGCAGACTACGCTTGCTGTGACGGTCCAGGGCGCCGTCGCTGTCTGGGCACGGGGCACCAGGTCCAAGCAAGACATGGTGCCCGCCGAATTTGCCGAGTTTTGCGTGCATGAACAATGTTCCCAGACACGCCTTATGAAGCTTGCATGCGTTTTTGGTTCATCAGCCACGTGTCACTACTCACAGATTAGATGCTTCTGATTTCATGCAAGGCACAACTCATCAGCCGTTTTCGCGCCGAAAATGTCAGGCAGGCTTCCTTGCTCTGCACGAACATAGGACTCCTGAGCTTCTCAATGGTGCTTGCACAAGCTCAGACACTTTGCTTGAAGGCTGTGTTTGCGTAATTTGTCAATGACTGAACAGTTGCAGCAGCAGGCCAAGACACTGACAAGCACATTAGGTGGGTAGACCAAAAGACCAGCATGCGCAAGACACATGTGACAAGGATTGTGCAATGTTTGCCCCACGTCGACGTTGAAACTGCTGAAATCAAAGATCGCTCGGCATGCCATGCCAAGCAGCTTTGGCATTGATGAGAAGGAAGGTGCTTTCTGAGCTGCAGAGTGGAGCAAAGATAGCAGACTCCTTGGAAGCAGTCGAAGAGTTCATTGCAAGGATGCACATTTCGCCAATCGGCCTATTGTAGTCCCGCATCATCTCCTGCATCGGAAAGGTGCGTTTGCAAAGGCAAGAAAGGGGCTCTGTGAGAATCGATGCAAGCAGCAGTTGCAGTCGTGCCGACTATTTGTAAAGCAGTTTTGCCAAATCGTAAGCATGGTGTAACTGTCAGAGCTCCCAGCCTTGATGGGCAAATCGTTGGCATCAGCACCGAAGGGCTGATCGATCTCTATGGCGATGTACATCAGGCACCAAAACGATCCTGCAAGGTGCTCAATCGGCCCAGCGAGCGAGCCCAAGCCTGGATCCAATACTGTGGATGGACAACATCCGTTCGCACCACTTTAAAACCATGGGAAAAACCGTTGTTTGTTGGTATTTGCAAGGAAATCATCATTCCAGGGTTTCTTAGGTAGTGCAGGATTTCGTCCATCCACAGTGTGTCGCAATGCATCACTCGCCATTCGTGGCCTGTCACCAGGAAGGACATAAACGCAGCCCACCACCAGGTCCTGAGCTGAGCAAGCACTTGGAGGTTGGATGGCTTCAACCTGTGTGTCTGTACAGGCGATCATAACCACCGCCCCCAAGTGCTGAAACTGAAATCTCTGACTCTCAGCGACTCCGGCATCTAGCTTTCCCAATGCACTCGCAGGTAAGCCAGCCTATCTTACTTTAGTTGCCGACCATTTGCAAGCCTTGCATAGACCTGTTCAAGCTTGAAATGCTGGACAATACAATATGATATGTGCTCTGGAAAAAAAAGGATCCTGGCGAAGTTCGGGTTGGAAAGCAACATAAACTTCCCGAAATGCTGAAGCGGGACGGGCATACCCCAAAGAGCTCCTGCTGATGGCTGCATCGCCAACGCGTGACGCATATTGTCCAGCTCTACAGGAATAAGTGAAGCCATATTTACTAGCTATCCAAACTTTGCACTCACTTGGTCGGCGAGGTTTCCACATAGAAACTGGCACTTTGTTCGATGTCGTGCACTTTGCGATTACATGAGCGGTAATGTTATGTCTTATTGAACTTGCTGTTTCCATCTCCGCACCTGGCGCACCAATCATGGAATCCGTTCTACGCGCGAGTTGCGCTCCCTGCCAAGTTGCGCCACCACCAAGCTCGCCAGCATCGGCGTGACTACCCAATGCACTGTCAGCCTCAGCACGTTCGGACGGGCTCCACGGTTCCAACCCTTGCAAAGTTGGCGAGTGGCATGCAAACCAGCATCTGCGCATAGGGAAACGGGAAAGGTATGTCCTTAGCAATGCCCAAATTGCAGATTGCATTACCAAGCCACAACTCAAGTGCCTCTTTTGTACCATCCGAAATCCGGCTTGCAACCAGGCATCCTTGATCTTCCGCGCATTGTTTAATGTCACAATGCCGCGGGAGAGCTCCTGATGGATGCGTGAGCTCATGGCCAGCTCTCAGTGAGCCGTGGCTGGTTGCAGCTTCCTGGAACGCTCGAGACAGAATCGGCGGAGGCACATCGAGGACTCCTTGCGCGCGCCGCCACATGCGGTCTGTGTGGCAAAGCAAAGCCTTTGAGAGCGGCCTCCATCTGCAGATTCCACGATGAGCTGCTGAACCCACTGAAGAAGGACCTCAGCTTTGGCTATCGAACTGCTGTGCCGTGACAGCTCACAGCCTCGCATTGGTCGTGCGCTTCCAGCAGGAACTCTAAATGGCCCGGAGCGATGCCCTCCTGTCAGGCAAAGGCCTTCAACGTCCCTTGCAAGGTGTTGCGATCAGACTGACTCAACTCCGGTCCGTGTCGAGGATCTCTACCGAGTCGTCAGCGTCTGTGTCACACACCTCTTAGTCGCAGATTCACAAGTGGCTGGGCTCACAGCTTCACAGCAGCCTGCTGTAGTGCTGCACAGTACATCATGCTTGCCAGGCGAACGAGAAGCTGCTTGAATTCCAAGACCTCGCCCAAAAGTGCTTTTGGCAGCGCAGCAGAAAACGCGCTTTGCGAGCTGCCCCCGGCCTTCTCGGCCTTCTCGGGTTTCCGCGAGGCGAAGGCAAAGAGAGATGAAACGGCGTTGAACCTCCGCGAGACATCCCCATGACGCGGCCAAAAGCAATTGGCCAGGCTGAGCTTCCGGCCACTCACCACGGACTTGACTGATCAACGTCGCACCCTCCCAAAAGCGGGAGTATGCCTGGAGAAAACAAGAAAAACAAGGCAGAGGCTTTCCTGCTGGAGCCGGCCTGGTTGTTCCGGAACACAACTAGGAAGCCAAGGACGAAGGTGTAGCCGGACCACATTACCTCCACACCTGACCGGCCGGGAGCAACGAATCTCGAGATGCGAGTCGCATCTTAACCTCAAAGCGAAACCTCATGACACCGCTAGAAAAGTGGCACCATCCATTTGCTCCGCAAAGTCCGGCAAGCCGTTGCTGTTATGGTCTGGTGCAAACCTGCGGCGTCTTGCATGCATGAAGGACTGCTCGACCAAGCCTGCCTTCGAAGCAGATCATGTAGCAGGGCTGCAAATATGGCGTTCGGCACCGCCCAGCGCAAACCCTTCGGAAACACTGATCCTGCAAGCGAAGATACTGCAGAAAAACATAGTCTAAAAGCACTGACGCTGATAGGCCTCGTATTCTGAGGATCATCAAGAGTGTCCTCAGCAAATGGAAACCCCGCTCCAGTAGAGTGCAGAAAATTGATGCTGTCAAGTTGCCATGCTTTTGCCTCATACACAATCATTATGTCCTGCCAGCAAAACGCCTGAAATTTTCAACATGCAAGCAGAAAGCAACTCACAACACATGGCTCCTGTCTTCACACAGGCACAGCCAGGCACACGAGCGGAAAAGGGACAGAGTTTCCAAGAACAGCGTCCAACGAGTGTTTCTCGTCTACCTCTTGAGCTAAAGCTACACACAGGCCCGCCAAAACATGTGCAATTCTCTGCCAAAGCATGCACTCCAAGGTGTGCATGTGTGTGCGTGTGTGCGTGTGCGCAAGTGTGAGGATGGGATATTCTGCCTTCATTTGTCTTCCAAAGCGCAAATGTTTGTGTGTGTGATAGTGGTTTTCCTGGCGCTCACAAGGCGACAAGGCACAATAATTCAATAGGAACAGCGACACTTGTGGAAACTTGCAAAAAACCCTGCACAGTCAGCCGCTCCATTGCCTGCTTTTGCTGCGGATCTTTGAAGATGACCATACACCTAGGATCAAGTCTACAAGGGCTACAACTCTTCTGCCTCTCGCACTGTTCCCATTGCCTCAATAGGGCCCCGGGCTCAACGCCTGGATTTTCTGCATGTCTGTACTTCACGGTGAGCACCTTCGTTCATGGTTCTCGCAATGAACAAAGGGGCACGCCAGCCGCCTGATGCTGAGGAACTGTTTCCACGAAGCATTTTTCCTCCCCCTGACAAACTCCAGCTGCCAGGGTGCAGAAGTTCGCAGCCGAAGCGCCCGCCTCGTGCAAATTGAAGTAAGCAGCCTGGCAAATCAGAAGTCTGACTGCCGATGTGGCTACGCATGTCTCAGAGATGTGGCGGACAGGCCTCAACAGACAAGACGAGGACAGGCAAAACCTTAGAACCCGTGTGCAGGATGTGGAGCCGGCCGTCAGGTCCAATCGAACTAGCCAGGAAAGCATCAGCCATCATTGCCGCTGAGGGCCAGACCCGCAGCATACCAGCTGCACCCAAGCCTGTCCAGGCTAGCACTTGCCCCAAATGTGGCCGATGTGGCCGCTCTATTCGCAGTCTGATAGAGCGCGACAGGTGCCTCACTGGCTTGGGCTTGTCGGATTCCCTCATCCGTCAAGAGCAGGTTCCGAGCCAAACACTGCAAGAGAAAACGCACTTGGACGGAGTGCGCTTCGCTTGCTCGGCTCCAAAACAAGCGACAACGATCTGAAAGGACAAAGCAGCACAGGTGCAGTTGCTATATGCGACTTTCAACAGCGTGTTGGACCGCTCGAAAACCACACCCTCGTGCAACGCTTCCTCGTGCTCCTTTGGCTCAAAGAAGCGCAGCTAATAGCTTAGTGATGCTCACAGGCCACCGCGGCGTCAGTTACCACAAGCTTCCGCAGCAGCTTTGCCTGCCATCAAGCGAGCTTTGGCATCCAATGCATCCACGCTCAGCTCCAGCCTTCCGCCAATCCTTGGCGGGGTCACCCCTGGCACACTCGGGGCCAGCCGGCAGCTCTCTCATTGTGTGGGTGTTACAAAAGCGAGGCATTTCTGCAAGTTCAGGCCAATCAGCCGCAGGATCAAGCTTGTTTTCAGCATGTTTCCGGGTTGCCTTTTGATAGGTGTGGATGAGTGGGTTGATCCTTGGAGTCTGCGAGCCAAACTGCCGGCGATGCCCGATCTGTACTCCCTCCATGGTGCCGTCGGCGCCCACCTTCATCTCGTAGTTGCCTCAGACAGTTGCCACGGCTGACGTATCTCTGAGATGCAAAGATGGCCCTGACCAAACTCCGCCCAGTGGATTGTCAGCTTCTCGCCCTCCAAGGCCCAATGCCTCAAATATCATTCGCCCCGAGAGAATCTGCCAACTCGCATGAGCTACTGGCTCTCTTATCTGCATTTCGGCAGGCATGCGGGCAATTTTCCACTTGCGCAGGAACTCCTGTCCACCACGCGAAAAAGACATCTCTCATTCACCCAGCGCATTCACTGGATTCGAGAAGTCAACACAGCACAGCCGGAGTTAGAGCTCTTGTTGGCATGGGTCTCGATTTGCAAGTGAATTGCCGTCGTAGAAGTCTGCTCACCCACTCCGAAGCAGCTTCGTGTTGCTGTGCTTCGCCTGAGTCATGCCCCGAGTCGGCCAGCATTCCAGAGCCCCTCGCGGCCACTGCAGCTCCCTGAAGCACCTCCGCTTGCGAGTCCCGAGAACAGTGATCCTTTGTCGACCCAGGCAGACTGGCAGCAAGTCGCATTGACATCGGCGGACTGGGGAAATGGGTTCGTGTTCAAGCGTCAATCAGCGTCTCAAGCGTCTCAAGCGTCAATCCTCGTTGATTGCCATTTCCACTCGCTGCAAGGCCTGAGACCTTTCCAGCGCATCATACTCGCGGCTGGCCGAAAGCTCCGCTGGATCCTCTGAGTTGAAATGCCCCGTGTCCGCCTGGTGCTGCCGCAAGAGCCAATCACCCTCGAAGCTGGCGCCACACACCGCGCAGAGCTCTCCATGCTCCAAATCCGGCAGCTCCCAATGCCGCGTCTTTTGCAGTGCCTGAGGGGCCTCACACGGCCCCGCTCGGGGCAGGTGGCCCCCTTGGGGGCATAGCACCTCTTGCAAGTGCTGGGGCCTTGTACAAGCAGCTGCCAGGGAAGACTGCAGCAAATCCAAAGTGGCAGGGGCAAAATCAGTGCTCAAGTTCCGACCCATTTCCTTGGTTTTACGTATGCTGTGATTCTCGCTCTCTCTCTCTCTCTCTCCAACTCTCTGGCTCTCTCTCTCATTCTCTCAATCTCCCGCACTCTCGTACTCGTTCAGTTCTACGTCCGCTGCTGTGATTTCTGCAACTACTACTCGGTTTGTGTCAAGCATCTTCGGACATGATGCAATGACTTGTGATGACTCTGGCGATTGCAGCCACCATATGACCTACCTGAACAATTATTCACGTAGGTTCGAATCAAACAACGAGCAGGTTCATTTGGATGCGAAAGTGACACATAAAGATATTGATCCAAATGAGACAGCAGCAGAGGATTTCCCCAACCGGCGTTCTTCTCGGTGCTGACTGGCACAACAAAAAGAAAAGAACAGAAGTTGCCCCAATGTCACAAAGTGAACCGCTGAGAGAATACACTCTAGCAGCTGTGTAGCTGTGGTTGCTGCTAGCATTGCACTTCGTTGCCTCTCCAATGTTAGTGAAAGAAAATTGCTCGTGTTGCCGAGCCAATATATCCTTGAGATGTATGGGCACTTTAAGTTTGCTGCCGAAACTTGCCTAGCAAAATAGTGAGCGTGACATGCACCTGCACAAATGTTCGCAATATGTTCCTCAATCTTGGGCCATGCTTTGCCACTTGCCAGTGTGCAAAATGAGTTCAGTCCCAGAGTCGATCGGATCCTCCACATGCAAGCCAGGTCTACGCCCCTTGCCCCAAAGCGATTGGAAGCAGTCAGCCTCTATGCTCTTGCGCATGCCAACCCGCACCGACACGACTTCGTTGTTCCAGTCAAAGCTGTTGCTGAAAAAGTCAAAGAACCCCAGCAGCAGCTCTGAGCAGGGCATGCTGCCCCGAAAGCAAATCTGCGCCACATCCTTGAAAGTGGCAAAGTTTGTGTTGAAGCGTCGATCCGCATCCCCAGGCTGCGATTCTTTTGTGAGTTCGTGTAGACATGGTAGCTGATCGCAAGTTTGGACCTGGAGCAATTCGATGGTAAAAAAATCACAGACGGCCAACTGAAGTGCAACCAAGACTCATAGTAGATTGCCTCAATTGGCCGTGCTCCAAAACTTGATACACATGTAGGTGGTGGGCAATGCCATCACCTTTCCCCCTGCGTAATCCCACTCTGCTAAGGCTGGCACCATCAGGGAGATAGTGTAGCTGGATAAAAAGCCTCGTATCGCAGAGGTGCATGCAAGAATGCCAGCTGCCACCTTGTTTGTAGCAAAATGTCACATCTATAAACCGGCTCTAGATCGCAGATTCGCATATTGACAGAGCTGCAACTTGCTATGTTCGCATTTTCATGCTTTCCCAATGACAAGTGGGCTGCATGCACCTGTATTCTGTAAAAGCACTCAGACTGTTACACAGAACCCTTGCCATCACCGGAAAAATGACCTTCTTTCTGCTCCAGCACCAATCGGCAAGCATTCAAGCATTCTGTCAAGAAGCCTCTCTGCTTCTGAAGAACGCCCACCTCACGTGCCCAATGCTTGAGTGCCAATATGAGGCTCTGCAATCGCGAGTCCAGCTGCACATATGCACCTGAGCTTGACCCTCCACGATCTATACACTGCGTGGGAGTGGAAACACACCAATGGCTTCAAACGCTGGCTTAAGGTCAGTACGGATGAGATGCGAGCTGTAGAGCGGGGTCAAATTTTGGCAGCTCAGGAGGCATCGATCAATGGTGTAGGTGCGATAGGTGTTGCCGCTCAAGTGCACAGCGGCAGTATCTTCGATTGACAATGCACGCGTGCCAACTATGCTCTCGACCTGGAAGCCACTTCGCCTGCAATTCGAGGCAACTTTACGAAGCATGCGCTGCATCATAGCATAGTTGAAGAGTCTCATCTGAGCCCTCTCAGCAGTCATGGGTATGTAGATGGTGGCGTCTATGTCTGCGCAGCTCTCCCCAGTGCTAGTGAAGCAGGAACCATAAGGAAGAACGCCCACGTCTGCCCCCAGCACGTCTTGCACAAGCAGCTCGACCTTCGAGAGCAGCTTCGACCGACGAAGTCTGTCAGACGGCTGGGAGGCCACTGCAGCGACAAATTGCCTAAGCTGAAGCTCCAGGTCTGCTTGAACCCGGGCTCGACCTCAGGCATGACGTCAGAGCAAATGCGGACAACCCTAAGATAGCTTCCAGGACACTTCAACCCACCGAAGGATCCTTGCATGCTTCAAGGGCGCTGGAGGATTTGCATACGCTGCGCCCGGCAATCGGAAGCCATCCAGCAAGCAGCCACCTGCAGCCTAGCAAAGGTGATGCAAGTTCCAGCGGACATGGCACACGGCGGCGGAGAAGTTGTCGTTTCAAAGGGTCGGCGCCTTTCTCTTCCGGTGGATTTGGTGGCCGAGTGGGTAGACAATCACTTCAGAACGCTAAAAAAACATCACTTGTGAACGCTGCCACTTTCGATCACTTCCGAACACTAAATAAAATCACTTGAAAACACTGAGCACCCGGAACGCCGAAAGGGTTGCAAAACCCGGTCAGTCAAAAAGATCACTTCCGAACGCAGGCGTCCCAGCCCAGGATCACTTCCGTACGCAGGCAGGCGTCCCAGCCCAGGTGTGCAAAATCTAGTGGTTCTGGGGGGGTGGGGGGGGGGGGTGATAAGCACACCCGCTGAAGCTCTATACCCAAATGTGCAAATTCATCTGGTTCTGGGGGTGGGGGGTGGGGTGGGGGGGGGGGCATGATAAGCACACCCGCTGAACTGCTTCACCAGCAAGGGTGTGCAAAATCCAATCAATTTGTTCTGGGTGGGTGGGTGGGTGGGTGGGTGGGTGGGTGGGGATGATAAGCACACCCGCTGAAGTGAACCAGCCCAGCCTGCTCTGTAACCAAATGTGCAAATTCATCTGGTTCTGGGGGTGGGGGGTGGGGTGGGGGGGGGGGCATGATAAGCACACCCGCTGAAGCTCTGTAATCAAATGAACCTGAAACAATAAACCTGACACAGCCCAAACAACTTCACGAAAAAGTGGGGCGCTACAACCGAAACCCAAATCACTTGATCCAGACTCCGGTGGCAGGTGCTGTTCATGTTATAGGTCTTAGGGTTTTTCGAGGCTATCAGAAGCAGTGCGTGGGCCTGTGGGCAGGTGGGCGCGTGGACGCATGGGTGCCGATTCTTGTCCCAGCGTTCAAGAGCGAAGCACTCGCCGGTGTCTCGGTGCTGCGCGTGGCACGTGGCTGCACTTCCAGCGTTCCGAAGCGATTAGTACGTTTTCCGGCGTTCCGAAGCGATTTTGTTTCAGCGTTCTGAAGCGATGGTTTTGCCAGCGTTCAGGAGCGACGCACTTACCGCGGAGTGGCATCAAGAAAGAGTGGAGTGAGGTACAAACGAGAGGGAAGACATGGACCGAAGGAAGGAATCTGTAGACGATTATCTTGACCTGTTCTCAGCTCTTACAAATGGAATGGCGGCTCAAATCTTTGGAATCCGCCTCTTGTCATCGCTCTCATCCAATCTCTTCGCGAGTCACTGAAAGGACAAAGAGGGAATAGATAAGCGATGCCTTCATTCACCCACTTCCCTCTCTCGCCTATGCACTGTTGATGATTGAATGGGTTGTCTGCCTCCATCCCTTGACTCGTTTTCCAGTCAAGGAAATCCTTTGGCAGAAGGAAAGGGTAAAGGAATGCGTTGCGGGTAGGGTTGGTTTCGGGTACGGTGGGTTGAGGGTTGACGTAGGGTGCGTTGTGGGGTTGGTTGGCAGTGTCCGATTTTATGGGTGGTTACATTGGTCCATGGGGTAAGGGTGAGTTATGCTTGATAAACAGTCGGTTTAGTTTGGGGAGGATTTCAGATTGCATTGGGAGTGGATGTACTTGAGGTGGGGTTGAGACTTGTGAAGGCATGAGCCACCGGTCTGGCCCTTGAAATGGTGTAGTGAGGGTTCAGAGACTCAGTGGGTTTGGGGTGGCTGGGGATTCTTTCAGGATCGATTCAGGGTGGGAAAAGTTGGCTTAGGGTTGATGTGGGCATAGTTACCAACGTGCGCTGGCTTTTGGTCGAAACACAGAATCATCACCTACGCGTTCCCTTCAACAAGGAATGAAAAGGACGCATGGATTTTGACAAGAGCTGCATCCTTGGACAAACAATGGAGTCAACACACCCGCCAAACTTTCAAAACCTGGCGGAGCCAGACTCTTGTAGATTCTTCGAATTACTTGGCTCTTCCGCGCCTAGCTGTTGCTTGGGTCGCCTGGAGCTGACAGGTGCGCAGGTACGGATCGCCCCTGGCAAAGGCCGCGACGGCAGCTCCATCCCCGCAGAGCCCCGCTATGAGCCATCGCACACTTTGCACGTCCCAAGTCCGGGATTAAACTGCGGTGTCAGGCTGAGCCAGCGGCGCGTGCGCGGGAAACTCGTCGCACTGGAAATGGTTGTAGCCATCGGCCTTTGCGGCGGTGGCTATTGTTCACCCCTGGTCACTCCCCGCATGCCCGCCTTGAACTTCACGGGGAACTTGCCACCTGACCTCAGCTTGCCGGACTGAAATACGCTGGGGAGGTTCAAGAGCCAAGCCATTCAAAATCCCACTCTGAACCTGCGCCATCTCCCAGGAGTAGGGCCTGGAGGGGATGTTGACTGAACTAGTTCCCTCATTGCTCTAACTGCGTGAGCAGTTTCATGGGTGAAAAACTAGCCTGCCCCTTGCGGACAAACCATCCAAACCAACGGCATGCAGAAACCCAACCACGTCTTTGCTGTGCCCATGAGGCATGGAGCAGACTTCGGAACACTAGTGACCTCCTAGACCTGCAGGCCGTGCCTCGATCGGTGACAACTCGCGGCTAAAGGCCGCCTGCAACGTGGTGGCTGTGGCTCAAAAAACCAGCACCAAAATGGAACCCTGGTAAGTGGAAACATGAACTGCGTAACCCCTCCTGTTTAATTTTGAGCCACACCCTGGTGACCACGAGTGGCTTCTCCAAAGCAAGCGCTGCTTCGGGCCATCTGGAAACCGCCGCGCCTTCCGCCAGTTTTTCTCATCGTCTGATTTTGGCACTGCATTGCCCTCAGGATGGCCGGCAAGAACTCAAGGTTGGTAGCCCACAAGTCCAGGAGCCACGCGTCCATAGATTTTGTCGCGCTATCAAATTTCAGCTCGTACCTTACTGCAAATATATGATGGCTGCTCCTTCCACCGCAATGCGCTATACCAGGGCCAGGACTTTCCAAACTTCTTCCAATCTATCCTGCAACCAGCGGGTTAAAGGGCTTGATGTTTGCCACATCTGTCGTCCAAATTGGCGAATTGCAGTCTCACTGGACTGCAAGCGGTTTACTCGCCGGTTCCTAGCGAGAAGGTCGTGAACTTACCTAAAGCCTTTTGATTACGGCTATTAAAGAATAAAGAAGACAAATAAAAAAAGACAAGAAATAGCTGTTACGAAAGGACGGTCTTCTGGTTACTAATTGGCTCTCATTTCCCTTTCTTTCCCTTCCTTGGCATCTTCGCCTGGCGGTGTAATCCCAAGAGCAGGAAAGAAGGAAATGGGAATGTTGGACCTTCCTTGACTGGCGGTTGAACTCAGAGAATGATTCGCGAGTACACGGTCAACCTTCATTGGTGAGTGGACGAGAGAAGCATGTCCTTCCTCACTCACCCATTTCCCCGCTGCCTTCGCTCGCGGTAACTTGTCAATGGGTGAGCACACATGATGAAGAGCGAGCCCATTCCTTCGTCTGACCGTTCCCTCTCACTCCATCATCTCACTCCATTCAATTTCTGGAGTTCCTGTCACTATGAAAGACTCACGATGGAACGGTGAAGTGATAGAGTGAGGATTGATCTATCTCTTTTCTTTTCTTATCTTATTATCTGTCTTCCAGAAGTCCTTAATTGACTGCTTATCACACACCTTCCTCATCCACATGCCACCTCTCTCTTCGTTTGTTTACCTGGCATGCGATTCCAAGAGCTGACAGGTGGGTGAATGAAGGATGGATTTCTTGTCAGCCATTACCTTCCTCTTCCTCATGTCACCTTCATTCACATCCTAAAGTCGTTCATTTTGGTTACATTCTGGATTGGACGGAAGGACAAAATGACAGTGTGTGAGGGATAGAACCTTTCTGTAATAGCGGCTCATCTCCCATCTTTAACCGCCAGGAAATGGATCCTTGTCTCGTCCTCTGTCCTCAACTTGAATCCAGATAACAGGCGAGAGACGGAGGAATGAGCTCGGAAAGGAATATTTCTCTCTTTCTATCTCTCATTTCCTTTCCCTTTCCTGCCTATGGACAAGTCCTTACACCATCTCATTCAGAATATTTTAGCTGTTACAGAAGGTCTTTGTCTTGTTACTTTCCTATCATCGACGGTCAAGGGATACATCTTCATTCACCCGCTCCCTCTTTTCCCTCGTCCATCATTGGCGGTAGGACCTGAAGACTCTCATCCACATGCCACCTCTCTCTTCGTTCGTTTACCTGGCATGCGATTCCAAGAGCTGACAGGTGGGTGAATGAAGGATGGATTTCTTGTCAGCCACTACCTTCCTTTTCCTCATGTCACCTTCATTCACATCCTAAAGTCGTTCATTTTGGTTACACTCTGGATTGGACGGAAGGACAAAATGACAGTGTGTGAGGGATAGAACCTTTCTGTAATAGCGGTTCATCTCCCATCTTTAACCGCCAGGAAATGGATCCTTGTCTCGTCCTCTGTCCTCAACTTGAATCCAGATAACAGGCGAGAGACGGAGGAATGAGCTCGGAAAGGAATATATATCTCTTTCTATCTCTCATTTCCTTTCCCTTTCCTGCCTATGGACAAGTCCTTACACAGCATCTCATTCAGAATATTTTAGCTGTTACAGAAGGTCTATGTCTTGTCACTTTCCTATCATCGACGGTCAAGGGATACATCTTCATTCACCCGCTCCCTCTTTTCCCTCGTCCATCATTGGCGGTAGGACCTGAAGACTCTCATCCACATGCCACCTCTCTCTTCGTTCGTTTACCTGGCATGCGATTCCAAGAGCTGACAGGTGGGTGAATGAAGGATGGATTTCTTGTCAGCCACTACCTTCCTTTTCCTCATGTCACCTTCATTCACATCCTAAAGTCGTTCATTTTGGTTACATTCTGGATTGGACGGAAGGACAAAATGACAGTGTGTGAGGGATAGAACCTTTCTGTAATAGCGGTTCATCTCCCATCTTTAACCGCCAGGAAATGGATCCTTGTCTCGTCCTCTGTCCTCAACTTGAATCCAGATAACAGGCGAGAGACGGAGGAATGAGCTCGGAAAGGAATATTTCTCTCTTTCTATCTCTCATTTCCTTTCCCTTTCCTGCCTATGGACAAGTCCTTACACAGCATCTCATTCAGAATATTTTAGCTGTTACAGAAGGTCTATGTCTTGTTACTTTCCTATCATCGACGGTCAAGGGATACATCTTCATTCACCCGCTCCCTCTTTTCCCTCGTCCATCATTGGCGGTAGGACCTGAAGACTCTCATCCACATGCCACCTCTCTCTTCGTTCGTTTACCTGGCATGCGATTCCAAGAGCTGACAGGTGGGTGAATGAAGGATGGTCAGCCACTACCTTCCTCTTCCTCATGTCACCTTCGTTCACATCCTAAAGTCGTTCATTTTGGTTACATTCTGGATTGGACGGAAGGACAAGGAAGAATGGGAAAGGCAAATAATGAATCCTTGAAAATTCCTGTCGTCAAGGATTTCACGGGTTATCTTCTTTCTTTTATCCTCAGCTTTCAGGATATTGAAGAAGCCTGAGGTAAAAGGAAATGAAAGAAAATATACAGATTATTGATGGAGGCATTGTTCACCAACCTTAATCCATGCCAAGGCTCTTGATGGTGTCCCCTTCCAGCTCCCACCTCTGGCATCACACACTCTGACAGGACATCTCTCGACTGCAGGCCTGGCGGGCGCCTGAAACTTGGGGCAAAAGAAGTTTCCAGCCTGACATGAAGCCATCAGGTGCTTCATTGTTCATGTCACTTCTCAGAGCAGCACCGGTCTGAAGCATACTGGGAAGGACCCACCAGACCAACTCAATTCATACCTGTTTCCGCCGGATGCATCAATTTGCATGCATCCCAGAAAACAAAACAAAAACTGGCGCCACCATCCCACCACATCAGACCTTGCCATAGCCACATCAGACGTTGCCTCTCTCTCTCTCTCTCTCGTGGCCGGTTCACCAAGGTCCCCGCGGCTTCGCCATTGCCACCCTCTGAAAAGTGGCCCAAACACAAACTCAAACAGCTGCAACTTGCCGTGCGGAGAATGTAAAACACTGTCAGCCATGCGCAAGCCAAATGAAAACAATGAAAGACCGCGCTCTTTCCACACACCATGAACTGGCTTGCATATCTTGTGCTGAACGTGTCCTTCGAACATGCGCCAGCATGCAGTAACACTTGGCTGCGCTCTTTAGCACGCCAAGTTTTCCTAACGTGAGGTTTGGCTGCACAGTCTGCCTTTGGCAGATGCAAGGTGATGACACGTCCCACGCGACTAAATGCGAAAACAGTCGGCAACTGAGCAGGGCTCGAAACAGGTCGTCGCTAACATGGCAGCGACACAGACGGCTCGTTCTCAGGGGGCTCGCCACCTGACTAGAGAGCAATGAGGGAGGCAGGCGGCAGGCTGAAACCATCCTTGCCTGGCATGAGCGCATCATCGACTCCATATGCCTTCCTGGTTTGTGCAGCTTGAACACAATGGACAAGGTGGACACATTGCATCGCACAGTTCTATGCAGCCCAGAAGCGCTTCGGTTTCTGGAGCGTCTCCGAAATTTTGATCCTGCAACCACACTTGTTGCTCTCATGTGCGCGGAGCACACTTCAGGCATCCTTGTCGTTGTTCAGAAGCGCGTCCAGCCTGACATCGGTTCTTTGCAGCTTCACGGTGCTTGCAAAGCGTTCAACACATGGCCAGTCCACGAAGTGAATTGCATGGCATCCTGCACGCTCAGATCTGTATGAACACATCGGCTAACTGCTTGAAAGTGTCCGAAACAAAGTGTCCTCCTTTGGCTTGTCTTTCACTTTCTTCGTGGCGTACTCTTTGAGACCAGCCCTGGCACTCTGCGACTTCGGCTATGGCATGCTCATTCTTCAGCTCTTGAGCACACCCGCCTCGGCACTTGCTTCCAGCTGGTCGGATCCTGCCTGCAGCGCTTCCACATGTCGAGGATCTCCTGGCCAAACGGGTGACAGCGTCACATCCCTCTAGTGGCGAACGCATAGCACGCTCATTCAAATGATAAACAAGCTTGGACTGCCACATTTCAGCAGAGTTCCAAATAAAAGACACAGACCCCACCTCGTCACCCCTCCTCCCTGGGCAGCTGATGGAGCAAATGGCTCCTCTGGATGCCTCCGGCTACACTTTTGGAGCTTCAAAGAATGGACTGTTTCGATGCCTCACCCACCGGGTGTGCTGGTGGCAGATGCATGGGTCTGCTTGGGGGAAATGTGAAGGCATGCTCTGGCCGATCCTCAAACCTGGCAAATGCCAAGATGGACAGTTGCCCTACCCTTACCACCCCAGACTCGGCAATCATGAGCACACCATGGCTCCCAAGATTGTGAAACTCATGCCGGCTCCTCTCTTGCCCCATCCTTAGTTCCAAGTGTTGGGAGTATGTACCCGACACGGAGAGCTTTTAGCGCGGGTTTGAAAAGCTATGCCAGTCATCTAAGCTCTGCGCGCTTGGTAGGCTCGCTTCGTTTCCAACCGCCTCTGTGTGGAATCGATTGTCTCGCCATCCCATGAATTTAAGGCGACTGCTGGGCATAGTCCTCCTGCCACTTGGTGCAATCCTCTTCCCAGTTCGCAATTGCGGGTAGCCTGGGCATGCCAACTGCAAGCTTCTCGATCTGCTCAAGTTCAAAGCTGCACTTGGCCTGTTGGCAACTGAGGCCCCCAGCAGGAAGTACCGCCTTGCTCGCATCTCATGTTCCAGAAATGTCATCCGCACCACCTTCGAGCAAAAGAGCGTGTCCAGTACTAGATCTGCGAGCAACACAGGACCGGCACCTTGGGAATCATTTCCATAGTGACCCTGTCTTCCAAAGTCAGTGAGGCCTTGGCACCCAGTGCAGAAGTCACTTCCGTCGGGTCGAGTTGAAAGCTCAGATTTTGCCACCGAACTGCGCAGTTGTCCGCTTTGAGGCTCACGCTGAAGAAATCCGCTGACCAGCGTGGTTGTGGGTCGGGGGTCGCTCCCACTGCACAAGGCGACAACATGCCCTCCGACACGGTGAAGCACGCAACCACAGCCTTCGACAGCTCTTGAGCAAGCTCTTGGCGCTCCATGCGCTCCCAGCCTCACTCAATGACATTGAAACAGCTCTGGATCATCCCATTCCATGCACATCTGTCAGTATCCTGCTTCATGAGATTGCGGCGCTGGGCAATGCGTTCTCGTTGCTCTCGAAGTCGCCTCAGCTTGATGTTCCGGCAGTAACATCCCCTGTGCAGCGAACTCTACGTCTTTGACTTGCTCGAAGCACAAATCCGCCGACGCAGCTCTTGGATTAGGCAAGCATGGTGCATGGGCTTGGGGCTCAAAGTCCAGGGGGTTGCAAAAATATCGCCTTTGCTGCAAACACCTGCATTGCGTGTCGTTTTCCTCCCTGGGTGCGCATACAGTTGCTCGACAAAAAAGTGGCTCAAAATATATGCTCTCTTCCAATTCAAAAATACGAGGCTGCAGAAACCTGTGATTGTTCATAGTGTTTCTTGCTTTGGCTGCTGGGTTGCGTGTCAGGTTCGGCGTAGGTACGAGAACATGTGCTTGGAATATCCCTGAGAAATGCGTCGGGCAAAACGAACGTGTAGGAAACCTGTTGGTCACGCAGTGTGAGGTATTGTTACCGACAAAAAATGCTTCGGGGATACTGCTCGGGAATGCGACTCCCCACATTGTAAGATTCCGCAACCAAAGAAACCCTTGAACATCTCTGAGACATTTGTCAGGCACGTTCTGCGATCAACAAATGTATATAGAAACCTTCCCGGAGCACCATCGTGAGGTGTCGTCACCAGAATACAAGAACACACAGATTGTCAGGTTCCATGACCAACAAAAGGCATCTGAGAAAAGTGTGCTGGGCTGAAACAATGCCTTCAAATATTCCTTCAAAATGTGCCAGGCATCTATTGCGAGGTTTGGTGATCAATAAAAATTCACATACTATGAGGCTTTGTGACCAGCATGTTCTCAAACAGTGAAAATCCGTGACCAACCAACAACGACATGTCTTGTAAGGTTCCGTGAATACCCCAAAGTTGGTCACACATGCACAGCGCTGCCATAGCAAGCTCAATACAATCACAAGCAAGACATTGTGCTTGAGAAGCAGGCACAGAGCAGGCCCTCCAGAATCTCTGCAGCTTTCTGGCCTTTCACAATGCGTGGCACCCATCTCCGCGTCATGGGCACACTTGAACGGACCGCCTGGAAGGCAACGTTCCTCAGAGACACAAACAGAAAGGCAAGGCTCGGGTTGGTGTTTCTGAGCTTGCGGACTTCAATGCAAAAATCACTCGACCAGCTACCTGTCCAAGGCCCAGAATGATGCCTTCACATTGCAAAACAATCGCCTGCCAACTTCGCAGCGCTTGATACACCTTGTCAAACAGGGAAGAGTCACAATGTGCATGTTGTGCTGCTTAGTCAGTCGGTATGTGCCGGCATAAACTCAGCAGTTCCTGAGGGTCGCGCTTTTCTCGCGTTGGACTTTGCGGTCATGATGTTTCTTTTCAACTGCGCGAGTTGATTCTGGTGCAAGCAAATGCATTGCCAACAAACCGTCTGGAACCATTTCATTCAGCCAAGCAAAAGTGCGCCTTCATTGATGCAACATAGCTGGTGAAAAGCCTGGCAAAATCAAGGAAAGCTGACGCGGGAGTCGTTCTCAAGCCCAGATTGACAACTTTTATATCAGCACGCCTGGACACTGCAGGGCTTTGCACCACGGTTTCCATTCGGAGAGCCTGCAAAGTGTGGGCACAAATGCTGCACTGACAATCTCCAACACGCGCCTCCCTCATTTGCGGAGCCGTCATCTTGGACCTCTGTGGGCCACCGCTACTGCAACTCCGGGAGATTCAGAAAGTTCGAACAGGAAGACCAGGTAGACAACAAGTCCTGAAAACTAATCCTGCCTCTTCACCAGCATGTTGTCTTCGTTTTCTTTGAAGTAGCTGACGCCTCAGTCCAAGATCGCTGCGGCTGCAATACATCCGCATGCCCATGGCAGGCAGCTTCCGCTTGCAGGCAATTGACCGTGTGAATGATTGAGGACGCACATTCACCTCTGGATCCCCCCCTAGATTCCCTTGGCCACATGAGCCATGGTCAAATTGACCGGCTTCCCCAAAAGCACATGGCCTGTATTTGTGTGGGAATCTGGTGAGTCCCCAAAGTGGACCACTGGCAGGTCGACCCAACCGGAGCCCCTTGACCTCGGCTTCCAGCGCTCGAGAACTGGGACCTTGCGTTGCCGCTGGTCCTGGTTCTGGTCAAAATGATCGAAGCCATGCTTGATCATTCCGAGTCCTGCTTGATCTGTTGCAGAAACCCAGCTGCCCAGATCAGCCTTTTCATCTGCCAGTGCAGAAAATGCGTGTGTGTGTGTGATCCCTGGTGAAATGCAAAGCTCGGTGTGATCCCAGGCAAATTAGAAGAGTTGTGTGTGTGTGTGTCCCTGCAAGACCAGCTTGAATGCACCCCAGAAAATCCAAACCCATGAGATAGTTTGCGTGTTGCTTCTCCACCTACGCAAAAGACTCTATACTTCTCAAGGAGGAACATGAAATGGATGAGCACAGTATCACCAACAATGAAAGCTACAGACTTCGGATACTAGGTACAAGCTGCTACCAGAGATGCCAAATTCAAAGCCCGACTCATCCTCCACGACATTTGACCAGTTTGCAGATTGCAACTGGTCCCCAGACATGGACTCCCTCGGCCACTCTCCCGGTCACTCAGGCCGACGGTCACGTCTGAGTGAGGTCCGTCTCTGGAGCCCCGGACCCGAACCACTTGGCCGCCGGGAAGTCCCTGGCGCCAGCTCCGCGCCGAGCGAAGAAAAACCGACGTGGCGCGCTTCGGCCATCGCCTGCTCTCGGACTTCAGCTTGGCCTGGAGCTTCCGAGCCTCCACCTGAGTCCCACTTGCCACGACACTCGGATTTTGGATGGCCGCCAACTCAAATGCCCTTCAAATTCTCCCAATTGAGTCCATAACTTGCCACTCTGATTCTGGGGACGGCCGCCAACTCAAATTCCGCCCTCTTACGCAGTCTCTGCTCTAAGGCCGCCGCCGCTTGCCTTGCTTGGCGCTCCTTCCGCTCTAGATCCTGAAGGGTTTGCAATAAGTCAGGCGAGTCTCAAGGTCAATCCACGTATTTTTGGCTCGCAAACTCTGCCTCCTGCAAGATGAGGGCATTTTCCTAGGCGCAAAGATCCAGAGCTACTTGACTGGGAATCTAGCAGCTGCACCTCCACCATTCGAATCTTCTGATTCTGGCAGAGACGTCGGCCTTGGTGGAGTCTCATAATCACTCGTGAAGTCTGAAGTCCCACCTATGCATGCACTTAAGCCGATATAGGACCAGAAAGAACAAAATATCATTTGGATGCACAAACAGGAGACCTAGGCTCCAGCGATATGCTCGCTCCTGAGGCATGTCCACATATCTGATGCAATCTCAGCTTCATGTTTCCAACATGCAAACATATCGGGAAACATGTGGCATGTTGGCACTGTGGGGATGCTGACTTTGTCTGTCCTCGGCAAAGCTCGTAATTCGTTCCTTCCTGTTGTGTGGAAGCCACACCTGAATCGCCTGCAGGACCAACGGACCAACAAGCCAGCAAAACGCATCAGGCGAAGAGCCAAACGCAACAGAAAAGCCCCCCTAGCATGCTGCCACACGCCTCAGGCGTCGTGTTCCGAACTACCAGGGTCTGTGGCGGCGGCTTCCTTGTCTCACAAGACAAATTGCAACTATTGCTTGCCACAACAACACCTTGCCTGGGCGAAACGCTGCTTTGAATTGGTGCCTTGATTCGAAGCACGACATCCAAAAGACATGCAATAAAGTAGTCTCAAAAAAAGTCTTGCAACAATTCAAGGCATTTGCGCGCCTGTGCAATGCTGACAGTTTGACAGCTCGGTCCTGTTGAAATCAAGGGCATGATGAAGAAGGGAAATAAACAATTGACTCAAAGAATGGTTGCTGCAGCTGTCATGTCTCCAATAGCTTTAGACTTCAGTTTCATTGCTGCATGGCAAAAGCATCGAGAATCATGATTGGTCTCGTCTGCAATTGCCCAAGCTGCAAATATTCTGCAATTCTGCAACAAACAAGAAGGTGTTAGCCACGAACTCTTGAGTTGTTTCGGTCAAAGACAAGTCAAAAAGGCTGGCCTGCAGACTAGGATCCAACTTGGGCAAGCTGGCATGCGACAAAGGCCCAAGGGCCCTGCTAGGGGCGGCATTTCAGGCTCAATCCTCCGCGTGTACTTGTATGCCTCACAGCGCTTCACTTGAGTCATCCCAGTAAATCGAGATCCGAACCCACTGCCATGCTTGCTACCAGAAAAGACACATCAAAATTCAGGACACCAACAGTGCAATGCGGCAAAAACGCCATTGGCTTATCTTGCTGGTGCTCAGCAAACAAATGAGGGAATGACGCTTTTCAACCCTCCAACTGGTGGTTTCCCCTTATTCGGGAACCCCTGGGTTCGTTCCATTCCTCATTCCCTACCTATCGCACCGATCGCAAGCTCATCTGGGTATGGGTCAAATGCAATGGTACAATTTTGGTCGGTAGGTGAATTCACCACCCATTTTAGAACCTATTTTAGTGAGGATTGGGATGTTCACTTGGGGCTAATCGGGCTTTTGACCCATGGCCATCTCATGGTCACTTCGTGTCGAAACCGCTCGCCTGAAGCCGCTCGGCCAAGCGCTCCTTCGCCTCCCGCAACGCCTCTTCCGCGTCGCCGTCGTCCCCTAGCGACGGCGCGGCGAAACTCAGCGCGCAGGTCGACTCGCCAATGGGTGCTGGCAAAAATCGAACACCCCGAGATAGGTTGCCCTGGTACATGGAAGGGGCCAAAACCTGTGGTCCGATTGGTCCGATTCCTGGCGGCTGAAAATTTTGACCCATATCCAGATAGGCATTCCGCGTGTCGTCAACTCCCAGCTCCCTGACCGTACACTGTCGGACGGCTGTCCATCATGACCACAAATGCAGTGCCCGAGCACTGAAGGGGCAATCGTCTTGGCGCTTAGCCTAACTAGGTGTCGTAAAAAGCGACTCATGCTCCATTCCGTCGGGTAAAAGATCATATGCATTCCTGGGAACCATGTGTCTGATTTTGCGTTGTATCTGCACTGTGCACGGATTCGAACAAGCAAGGTTCAAGCCTGCAAGTTGTAAGTTGCTCGCACTGAATTAACCTCTGGAACTTACCCAACTGTGACACCTCCCCCAGCTGTTCTTGCGCCTTCTCCGGTGTCCTTCTGAGCTTTATTGCCTGAGAAAAGATCACCTCGGCTTCTGACAAGGGTCATGGAGTGAAACACTTTACAAAATTCCTCAATCACGAGGAGCGGGCTTAAGGTTGGCTTCTTCTTGGGAGAGCGTCGAGGATCAAAACCCTGATCACGCTCAGCATTGACAAATACCAAGCAGCATCATCCGGCCTCAAACAAGTTCTTGACCTCTCCAAGGGCCGCTGTCATTCTGTCAAAGTCCTTGACTAATTTTGCCTGCGCACACTGCAAGCAAGAGACTGAATCGACATTCTGGGTCTGGCACCTGGTCCACAAACTCTGCTTTGCCTGTCCATGAACGCCAGGTAGCAACAAACAAGATCACATCAAGGTGGCGCTTTGCGCAGCGCGTGCCTGCTGCAACGTTCCCAGATCGTTTCTGCTGCCCCAAAGTGAAGAATGTACCTCCTACACGATCCTGAGTGAGAGGAATCAGACTTCACAAGGCGGCTGGTTCCTTGGGGCGGCGCATTCTGACTCGAAGCTTTCGGAGAGACACCATGCAAGGCACTGTCTGACCTCCGATGGCGCCAAAATCCGCTCGTCTCTGAAACTCTTCAGGTTGCAACAAACAAGTTAAATAGGCATCCGACTGGCTCTTCCGAAGAGTGGCCTCGGTCGATACATCTAAGGGTGGTGTTTTCGTTTTAGACATAGAAATGCATGCACTGTCAGTGATGGTCATGGCTCACATTCCTTCTCTGAGCCATCTGCATAGCCAGCACTAGCGATGCCAGGCTTGCTGTGATGAGATTGGCAAGCCTGTTGCAGATTTCAAGTCGCACCTCAGCCCTTCTCCCTCGCGACCTGCCTGTGCGGCTTTATTTGTGCCCCATCCATCCGTGAAATTCCAATCCTCGCATCCATTAAGATCTCTGCAACACAACTGGTCTCTGTGAGCCTGAAAGCTGGTGTCCATCGGCGTGGTTGGCGAGGAGGTTCCCCCAGGCTTTGTAAAGAACATTGTGTGCGCATGGAGGCAAAACGGCGACACCTGCAGTCAAGCAGGCAAGAAGTGGTCCACATCCTGTTACATGCTTTTGTATGGCAGGCATGCATATGCAGGCATATGCATGCATATGTGTATATTATATATATATATATATATTATAACATCTAGAGAGAAAAGGGGAGCGGAGAGAGAATACTCATATTACAAACTCTTGCTCCAATGACACGCATCTACTTGATTCTACATGACTCCTCCGAACTCACGTGCATCTCACATCAAGGCAGCGGCCCCTGACAAGGGCCGAAGCGAAGGCAGCCAGGCGGATTGGGACCCGCTAAGGCGGTGCTTTGGGCCTTGGTCCCAAACTCGGGAGAGGGACTGGAGACTTCGTGGGACACAAAGTCAAAGCAAAGGCTAAAACAGAGAGATGCCTCATGGACTGCTAGAGTCACAAAAAACTGAATGTGCAACAAGCAAGCCACTAGATTGCGAAGCGAATGTCCAATTCTTGGTGCGTAAAGCCGACAGGATGGGAATGGCCATTCTGGCAATACAATGAATGGCAAATCCTGGCGAGGCTGCGGATGCTAAAGCATGAGGAAGAACCAAAACCCTCAAAGCCCGCCGTAACCAAGCCGCCCTCATCACAACATCTTGGCCCACGCAAAACAGAAACTAAGAGGCGGGCTTGAAATCCCCTGGTCAGGACGAAAGTGATACAGACTGCGTGTCCCGTGTCTGGTCTAACAGTCTCAGCTTGCCTCCAGGGGAGGTGGTGCAGCCATGACTAGGGAATGCCGTGCATCAGCCACATCTTGATCAACAAACAAACATGAGACGAACAAGCTGTCGGGCTCAACATTTGGCTGGAAACTAGCAGGGTTCCGTGCCACTCCTGCATTCAACTTAAGAAGCCAAATTATGATAGCGATTCTGCACCATTCTCAAGCCGAAAGACACGAGTCAATGATGATCTTCCAAGGCTTGTCCGACAGGCTAGCATTCAATCCGAGCAACTATGTGTTTTTTGTGACACGGCGAACGCAACAGCAGCCTGTGAAAGATACCGCAACAGCATTGTGTACAAAGTCCAGCAGCTTTCGCAATCATGAAGTCGCAAATTCTGTCACGGAACAGTATGGATCACTACAAGCCAAAGACTAAACCAAAGCTGAGAGTTTCTTCTCTGATGCCTTATGGCTGCCTCATGATTCGGACCATAGACTGCCTACCCTCAGGCGGTCATCTGCTCAGAAAGGCGCTTCGCAAAGGTGTCCCAGTAGTCCTCGTCAAACATTATTCTGCTTCCTTTTGTTCTATGTGCGCATCCAGCCTCGTACACAAGGGAGGTCCCCGTCTTCAACTTGGAGAACAAGAGCTTGCCCGTGTTCATGTTCACAACCTTAGGACTTCAGCCTGAGAAGCTGCTTGATAAGCCTGGTGAGCCTCGAAGGCTCCCTTGCGGTATCTGAGCTCTTCAATGTTGTCGTAAGGAACTAAGTCCTTCCGTGCCCAATTGTGCCACATGGTGCAGTCATCGATGCAAACCAGTCATCTGTGCAACATGAATAAGAGAAGTTGAAAAGTACTTGTGATGCATTACCGGCTAAGGAGAGCAAACTACACTCTCTGCAAGGTTCGGTGCAGCACACTTCCTAATCTCGACTCTCCTTCATCATCCTGGGCTCGTTGAACGCCACACGCACCTTGGGCTCCAAGATGGCGTTTTTCAAGAGAAAGCAAGGACTCGGAGCGGCCTTCGGACCAAAGCTGGAGCGGATCTTTCTCAGAAAGTCGGAAATTTCCTGCGGCATGAGATGATGCTTCTGCTGCTCCAGCCCAGAATTGAAGTCAGTTGGCAGACATGTGTCCAGTCTCTCCGTCCTTCCCCGTGGCAACCGAGAGAAAAGAGCTGTAGCATGTCACCCTTTAGAAGAATTGCTGGGCATTTCAACTGACCGAGCATTGCAATTGGTTGCTGCATACGAGGGCCTGGTTGCCCGGCTTGGGAAAGCTACTCCACGTCCTCATGGGATGCAAGTGCGGCCGTGTGGCCGTGCCCAGCATTCTCCCTTCGCCCGTCCTTCGTGCCCAGTCAGCTGATTCAGCATTTATCGGCCTGGGGGCAATGGCACTCAGACGCCACAAACCCAACAACGCTGGATTCTGAGGCCCTCTCTTTGTATCATACTCAACGTGCAGGAGTGTCACTCCATCTGGGATCTCTGCCTCGCGAGTGGAGCGAGGAGAAACCATCGTATAACAGCAGAATGCCATGGTAAACATGTACACTACTCAAAGTTTAACAAAGGCATGGCACGATTACACTAGGCCCAAAGACAATGCGATTGAACCGTTCACAAGAACATCTTCTCAGGTTGGAACTGGCCATTGCGCGTAGCTTTTGTCTTTGGCTCTGTCTGCAGCTGTCTTCCTGGCCTGGCAAGGTAGCTGTAACGGCCAGGAGCACATGCGCCAATGCCAAATGTCCATGTAATGCTTCCTGCGCAGTAGCGCCAATCATCCCATCATCAGCCACGCAATTGATACATATTGATACATATCCAGCCAAGACGCCTTGGAACGCTCGGATTGCTTCTCTTTGGCCGTCTTGAAATTGGGGTTGACCGGGCTGATCTTCGCCTGCACCAAACCAGAGGAGGGCAGGACTGACCGCGCACAGAAAACAAAATGCCCACCTTGTGCTTGCAAGCACCTTGGACTGTCTGCCTCATGAAGACATTGACGCTACCTTAGCATCCGGCAATCAACAATGCAACGCTCCCATGCCGACATCCATGTATGCGAAACGCTAAGCCCCCCCCCCCCCCCGCGCACTGAGCATGGTACGCCCATCCTCCTGCATGGTGACAGGATGCGCTTGAATGCAAATCTTTTCACAGCTGCCACTGCATAGCAGCTGAAATGGCCTTGAGCAGCGTCAAGGGTCGCGCTGGGCCGGTGAAAGCCAAGCTTGCGAGAAAATAGGACGAAAAAGCTGCCAAAAGAGCCTCACAAGGCATCCAACACAACCCTGCTTGCAGCCCTCCACTTCAGTGCCGCACTATGGCAGGGAAGCCATGCCGTCGGCACCGCGGCTCATGCAGCACCATGGCACAGGCACCTCGCTCAGCACGCTCCAGCCGCCGAAGATTTGTCGCAAATTCGCTAAGGCCACAGCGGCGCTGCGCCCGCCAATGGCCGGAGGATTGGATTTCCAAAGCTGAATACGGCGTCACGCATCATTTTGATCAAAGCTGCAGTGTTCCACCAGTCACGTGCACCCAGAGCATTGTGCTGACGAACACCAGCCCTATTTGGAAACATCATGTGTTGTGTATGATGTGTGTATGTGTCAATCGAGCGTCTGAAATGTGTGAAATGTGGGCGTGCATGCGTATATGTGTGAAAGGTATGTGTCTGGTGATGTGGGTATGGATCAAAATTAAACAACCAGGGGACCGCAGGTTTTAGTCCATGTTTCCATTTACCAGGGTTCGATTTTGGGTACCTATTTTTGACCCACAGCCATGTGTGTACAAAAGTAAAATGAAATGCGAGAACTGCATGTGTGGTTGCTGCAAATTGAACACATTGCCTGACTGAATTAAGCAATTTAAATAGTAACTGTTGTGACGTGTGTGTGTGTGTGTGCAGCGTGCAAATATGTGCATGTGAATTGTGCGAATTCATGTGCGTGATTCGTGCAAGTTGCGCTTATGTGAGTATGTGAAGATTGCTTGATCCACATGTAATTTGTGTTTGTGAACGCTGTTAATTCCATGAATTATGTGCAAATTCTGCAGATCAGGCAAATTGCGCGAATTGTGTCAATTGTGTGATGTGTGGGTTATGTTGGCCTTGTTGTTTTCGGCAAGAGGAGATGATGTCAAAACAACATAGGCAGGCCATATCTTCCTTGTCCTGGCAGATGGCCATGCCGACATCAACCCCCAAATTACATCAACCACTGAATTGAAGATAAAATAAGCTAATATCAGAGGGCGCTCTGTCTGTTGCTGACTTCAAAAAACAAAACGAAAAGCGAGTGCATGGTGCTCCTGCGAAAAGACCGGACTAGCACACCGCAATGTCCTGACAAATGCCCATTGCGAATCCACATCACCTAACCTTCCCTTTGGCAATTGCGTTTTCCTTCAGCTTTAATATGTCCTGAGCAGGCATTGCCGCTCACAAAAAAAGGGGCTAGGCAAAGTTGTCTGGGTTGCCGGTGATTCCCTCCAATGCTGGCAGTGTTTAGTCGCGCAAAACAATTGCTTGCGTTGCAATTGTCTTGCTCGCAACTACTGCCATCTTGTCTTCTCCGCCCGAGTGCCAATTCTTCTTGCAGCTTTCATAGGGAGGAAAGCTGAGAAGCCATTACTTGGGCAGACGTGACGTCGCAGTCTCAACCCTCTGCCCTCACGCTGCCACCCCAATGCAAGAGCCACACCATCCACACAAACTACAGGCGGGCAAGGACGCTAGGCAAGCAGCATGGAGCTGAACACCATTGGGCAAAACATGTTGCCCAATGGTATTCAGGGCCTGCCTTGCTTTCGAAACCTTGTCAATGCAACCATCTGCGCAAAGTTACGGCCAGTCTGAAGCATGTCTGAAGGCAAGAGAGCATGCTTCGACCACCAAAGAAACACGGCACGCTTGCAAGGGCCGACAATTGCTCAACGAGGCTATGCAGGGATCGAACCAAGCGGTCGCATTGCTCAATAGCTGATGTCTTCCATTATGTTATCGATCTTCTGGCATGTGATGCTGCGCAAAACTCTTGCGATCAATCACTCAAGCATCATATTAGTCCTTTCTGCCTCTTACTGGACATCTTGGCAACTGGCGCTGCAAACAAATGCCACAAACGTGCCAACTGAAGCATTAGGAGACGGAATATTGTCATCGAGTTCCCTCCGCCATAACAAGTAGTCCAAGTGTGCACGATGGCTCATTCAGGGCAAAGCCATCTTGGGCGTTGCCCGCGAGCACACACTGTAGGGGGAGAACACTTTCAAGGGTACCCCTGCTTTCCACACTGGGCTGTTGCGGCAGCAGCAACAGGAGAATGGCATTCATTGTCGTCACACCTTGCGATTTCTAAAACCCTTTTTGGTAATTTCAACTGCCCAGCACCAAGCTAAGGCTGCAGCGAGCATCAAAGAGCGCCACTTAAATTCACGGCTGCACGACGGGTGTAGACCATGTTAAGGCCTGCGCGACTGCCTTTGGTCCAATCAAGCGACTAACGTGCTGAAATTGCGGCATGCCTTGAGGGGGTGCTAGGCGGGTTCCTGGAGACAAAAAGCCAAAGATTCTCCCAACAAGCCTCTACGCACAATGGGCTGAGACACGCCATTCACGAGCGCTGTGTCACAAATCCACACCAAAACACTAGGATATGATGTCAAACCTTGTCGACGTCAGCAGCGTGAAACCTGCCATGCTTCGAGCAAGTGTTGGGTGCGAGACTGCAAACGCAGGTTGTGCGATGGTGCATTTGTTCAGGTATCACACAGCAGCGCTGCCCCTTCATTTCATCCTGCTGCAAGTGGCAGCGCTATTGCCAATTGCTTCTCAGCTCCCAGCAAAGACTGCTGCCAAGAGCAATCTCATCGTCATCACAGCTGCATGTGCTCGGTTGAAACGGGTTCAATTGGCACGAGCCGAGATCGTTCGAAGCAAAGCAACAACCAGCACGAGTTATCGCCCAACGTCTATCTTGGTTTGCACGCAGCAGTAATCAAGCTGTGATCAGGTGAAGACATCGCACATTGTCAGCTGGACACACATGGGGCCGGTTTGCAGCAAGACCCGCGAAATCGCGCTTTCGTTGGCCAGCAGGGCCAAGGAGGAAAAGCATGCCGGTTGGCTTTACCCTTGCTTCTGCCTGCCTACCTCACAGCAGCCTGACCCTTTGAGCTAGGTACAGATTGCTTGCTTTCTAAAGCCATTCTTGGTGTATAAGTCAAAGCTATCAAATTCGGAGTGTGCCCTGCAGCAAAGGTTGAAAGAGCATGTAGCAAACTGAGACTGCTTGGGTCAGTCACGTAATCTTGCTGAGACCGAACATCTGGGCATAACATTGACATGGAACTAACAGCAGCCACAGCAGCCTCTGCAGCCATATGCCGTAGCAGTTCGCCAAGCACCGCAACCGCAGACTGTGGCCTGCTCAAGATGAGCCTGTGACAACGGCGTTAAAATGTGTTGCTCGTTCGCGCATGAGCAGTACGCGCGGCAGCTGATGTTGACGTTCAAGTTTATCGCTCGGCTGGCAGTTGGGGATGACATATTTCTACAGACTACTGTCGCAAGCTCAACAAAGAAAACTCAAGTCACTCACGCTCTCTTTGAACAAACCCCAAAAGCTGTGAAGGATACAAACCCCTTTTGGGGCGAAGCAGCACTTCGCTTGCGCGGAAACGTTGCAAACCATTGCGCGCTGGCAAGCCCTTTCATTCTCAGCGCAGGAGTGGAAGCCAGCCCGAACCTTGCTCAATCCCGAATCTATAAATTAGAAGAACACAACCGCTAAGTGCAACTTCGGGACCTCATGCGCCGTCATGCCAACAGGCACAATTCACGTGAAAAAAGGGCGAGGCGCGTTTTTCATTCCAACATTGGCTACTGGCGCTGCCTTGTCTAGCTTCTTCAAGGCGTGCGTAGCCAAGCCGCGTTCGGCGAGAACTGACAACAAGCGCAAGAACACCAGCGCAAAACACGCATCCCAAATTGGTCAACGAGGCAACTAAAGCTGAGGTATTCTAGAGCTTTGGCGCTAAAGCATGGCTGCGTCTTGTGCAGCTACGATCGCAAAGCACCTGCACGTTGCCGGCCATGCTGTACGGGTGCTGGACATTCACTTACTCCTTTGTTCTTTCACGCACCACTGAAGACCCTGGGCTTGCATATGCGGAGTTTGCCTTGCGCCACAGTCAGCCCAAACAGAGTGCTGTCCAGTCTGAACTGACATCACATGCTGCAGGAAGAAAAAACTTACTGCAGCTATGGAACGGAGAGCTATGCTCCACCGCTGCATGTAGCTCGTTTGGAAGCAAGCTTGCAGGACCCAGCCAGGCAAGTCTCAAAACAGCTCAGATCCTTGAATCTCATCGGGGCAGTGCGCAACTTCTGCTTGCCCGCAGTCAAACGCGGCAAACGTTGCGCAAAGCCCAGGAGCACGCTGCTTTGACTGACAGCATTGTCAATGGAGGTCTGACACACTTTTCTGTGGCCTGTCAGCAGGAGTGACTGAGCCCTGCTCTAGGCTGCGTGGAGTTGCGACGCTACCGCTTTCACGCACTGCGAGCCCAATGCAATTGAGCTTGAACGACTGCAATTGACAAGCACCGCAGCTCGCCCAACCATGCTGTGGCAAATGCTCAAGGTTTCTTCAAGACAAGTAAAGGCTGGCCTTTTCTCTACATCAGGCTAAGCTATACGTTGAACAAAGCAACATGATATGGAAAGTTAGGGCCGAACACAATTCACATGCACTTCGGCGGCAGCATCTGCTTGGCTGTTGCCATTGGCAAAGAAAGAGTCAAGGACACCGCAGCTATCACATCCAGGGGTTGGGCCTCCTGGCCAGCATGCTGCTCAAGCGACGAAAGTGAATCAAGGTCATCTATCCATGCTCACCATTAGATGGAGGCAAGTAAAACCGCCTTCAGCTGCTGACATTTCAATAAGTTTGATAGGTCTGAAGCGTATTCCCTGGAAGCAAAACCAAAAAGTACTCTGTCGAAGCAATGCATCCAACACACAGCCAGGAAACAAAACTTGTGCACATCGTCAGCTGCAAGGCCAAATCTCGCTTCCGTCGGCAAGCAGGGCCAAGGAGGAAAAGCATGCCTGTTGGCTTTAACCACTTTTCTGCCTGCCTACTCCACAGCATTCGCCGCGCGCTCCTGCAGACTTTATCAGCAGCTCAGCCACAAAATGTCTTCGAACTTCGAAAAGGCAGTGGTTCGCATGTTGCACTTCACTGCCCTCACGGAGGTACTCTTTTCGTTACTCCAGCACTGCCCAAACAAGGCACGTAAGTCTAAGAAACATGCCACACGCTTGCGAGGGCCGCGGAATTCATCAAACAACCTATCCAGGGATCCAACCAAGCGGTCGCATTGCTCAATAGCTGATGTCTTCCATTAGTTCATCGATCTTCTGGCATGTGATGCTGCGATAAACTCTTGAGATCAATGACTCAAGCACCA